GGACTTAATCTCTCTCTTTCTTCCCCACTACCTGCACCGCCACCAAATCTGTTCCAGAGGGATGAGGAAAACCCAGAGGAAATTTTGGGGAGAGCGTATGTGAGAGAAGGAAAGGGAGGGGAAGTTCCACTGTGCTAGCACAAATAATTTTGTATGCGCCATTTAGTTGCACAGTTGGACCCTGCTAGAGTCACCAGTTTTAGGCTCCTAGGACTTTACGCAATGCTGGTGTTAATCACCATCAACAAAACAAAACAAAAACAACAAAGCAAATTACAGTAGCGGACTGCAACAGCAGGAGGTTCAAATTATACATTATGTACAGGAAGCACCCATTTTAATGTGTCTGACAGCAGACTGGGATAAATTGGTAGATGACTGCATTAGCTGGTTAATAATAGACCAGAAATGAAAATGTAAATTTTCATCAGAGCTGTCATCTGTAAAAGGACATTCATTGCTGATAGCATGGATGTAAACAAAATGCTTGTAACATTTAAGCCAGGCAAGGTGTTTTCTTCAAATGCTTTTCCAGAAAAGTGACTGTCAGTGCAAATTAGTCAAATTACAGTGCAAATTAGTCAAGAGATTCTGGTATCTCCCAAAAATTTAGTCTTTTTATCTCACCGCTTCCCAAAGGAACTCAGAGCAGTGCATGTGTTTTTTCTTTCCTTTGCCCACACAACAAACTTTCAAGGTGGGTTGTATCCACAAAGTTTCTGCTTTGTGGCTTAATGATGATGCAGGGATTACATTCCAAGACACTGCACATTTAAGTGAAATTGCGTATATTTGAAACACCATGGAGAAAGCCTGCAAACACCCCTTTCCACCCCAGCTCCATCCCATCCCTTTTTGTGATGTTTTTGGGTCACCTCTGGGTTTGGCATGATGCACGTGTGCCTAAAATGGCTACTTTCTATACTAATTTCAAACAGTTAATTAGTAGACAAACTCAAGGTATAAATTTTCATGTGCATCAACTATCACGGGGGCACAGAAATCAACCAAATCAATCAATACAAATTAAGAGCGCACTAAGGAAGTACCACCCTGGGTGGTGCTTGTTGCCATGCAATGGTCAGGATCATCCCTGTCCAACTCTGAGGCTTCAGAGTTGGAAGGAAGGCTGGGCACTTGTCAAACTTACTAGAGCCGGGGAGCACAAGCTGTGTTGATGTCAAAGCTCAGCTCTGCTTGAACCCCACTAAGCACCAAAGGCTCTTCACACATCAAATTTTAGGTGTAATATTTGGAAATCTAAGAGCGTACCTGAGAATACAATGTATGAATGTCACAATCTGGTGTTTTTGAAAATGTGTGTATTATCCAGGTACACTAATGAGAGAGCCAGGATTGTCTGGGGCTCCTTGCTTATGTGTACTCTTAATCTATATTTATTGCTGTGTAGCCCGTGAAAGGGCCATCGGACATACATCGGAAATCGTATTTGGTTGTTGTAGTTTTGGAGTGTGGGGAGCTTCTTAGCACCTCCTGTAACTTACAATTCTTAATTCAGATTTTTTTTAATAAAAAAGGCGGCCATGACAGTAAAATTTGTCCCTCTCTACCCTCCCCATAAACTTTCATATATATATATATATGTATATATATATATATGAATGATCAAACATTATCATGCCAGTGGTGCACCCCATATTTGGTCAGGCACCAAAGGGAGGAAGTTCTGAAGGTGTGGGGCCACCACAGAAAAGGTCTCCTCTCTTATGGCCATGTTCCTCTTAGATCTAGGAGGCAGATTGAGATCTCAGCATGTGAGAAGGATGGTATGTATATTAGACAGTTTGGACTGAAACCATGTATGGCTTTAAAGGATAAAACCAACACTTTAAATTCAGCTTGGATGCGCACTGGAAGCCAGCATAGCTGATATAATGCAGGAGCATTATACATATATTTATTTGTTATTTCAATGTTTAGGCCGCCCTTCATCAATTTATTGATCCCAGGGTGCATTACAATATAAAACAAAACAAAAAATAAAATCATTCTGCACCTTAGACAAACTTGTTTGCATTTGAAAGCATACATATTGAATTTCAGAGCAGATAAACAATTGATTAACGGAATCCAGTCTCAGTTACATTGCTTCACTGAAAAGGCCTAAGGAAATAGGTTTGTCTTCAGCTAGCCTTTCAGTCTGTTTTTGTTTTTTTTAAATGATATTTATTAAAATTTCAGAAACAAAAAATTACATAGTTAAAGAGAAAAGAAACAAAGGAAAATATATATATAAAAAAGAGAAAAAACATACAAAATACAAAGTACAGGGGGGAAAAAACACACTTAAAAACAAATTAATCCTTCCGTATCTTACATTTCGTTTCCTTGCTTCCCTGACCTCCTCTCACCTCCCTTTTCTGTATTCCAGTTCAATTGGTTAATTCAGCAATTCCTTTCCCTCTTTGTTTATGTCTTAGTCCTTTAGCTTAATATATTATAACTTTAGATTCTCACCTATTAACCATCCATTTTTACATACACCTTTATGACATTGCTGCTAGAACCACTTAATTTCATTCTGACATCATTCTAACATTCATTAATTTTACAATATTTCTGTAAATAGTCTTTAAATTTCTTCCAATCTTCTTCCACCGACTCTTCTCCCTGGTCTCGGATTCTGCCAGTCATTTCCGCCAATTCCATGTAGTCCATCACCTTCATCTGCCATTCTTCCAGAGTGGGTAGATCTTGTGTCTTCCAATACTTTGCAATAAGTATTCTTGCTGCTGTTGTGGCATACATAAAGAAAGTTCTATCCTTCTTTAACACCAATTGGCCGACTATGCCCAGGAGAAAGGCCTCTGGTTTCTTCAAGAAGGTATATTTAAATACCTTTTTCAATTCATTATAGATCATCTCCCAGAAAGCCTTAATCCTTGGGCACGTCCACCAAAGGTGAAAGAATGTACCTTCAGTTTCTTTACATTTCCAACATTTATTATCGGGCAAATGATAGATTTTTGCAAGCTTGACTGGTGTCATGCACCACCAGTATATCATTTTCATAATATTCTCTCTTAAGGCATTGCATGCCGTAAACTTCATACCTGTGGTCCATAACTGTTCCCAGTCAGCCATCATTATGTTATGTCCAACGTCTTGTGCCCATTTAATCATAGCAGATTTCACCGTTTCATCCTGAGTATTCCATTTCAACAGCAAGTTATACATCTTTGACAAAGTCTTAGTTTTGGGTTCTAACAGTTCTGTTTCTAATTTTGATTTTTCCACCTGGAAGCCAATTTTCTTGTCCGAATTATATGCCTCCATTATCTGATAATAATGAAGCCAATCTCGCACTTTGTTTTTTAGTTTCTCAAAACTCTGCAGTTTCAATCTGTCTCCCTCTTGTTCCAGAATTTCCCAATATTTCGGCCATTTGGCCTCCATATTGAGCTTTTTCTGTGCTTTCGCTTCCATCGGTGACAACCACCTTGGGGTTTTATTTTCCAATAAATCCTTATATCTTATCCAGACGTTAAGCAATGCTTTCCTGACAATATGATTCTTAAATGCTTTATGTGCTTTGACCTTGTCATACCACAAATATGCATGCCATCCAAATACATTATTGAAACCTTCTAAGTCCAAAATGTCTGTGTTTTCAAGAAGCAGCCATTCTTTCAGCCAGCAAAAAGCTGCTGATTCATAATAAAGTTTAAGGTCTGGCAGGGCAAATCCATCTCTTTCCTTTACATCCATTAATATTTTAAATTTTATTCTGGGCTTCTTGCCCTGCCAGACAAATCTAGAAATATCTCTCTGCCACTTCTTGAAGCAATCCATTTTGTCCAAAACTTGCAATGTTTGAAACAAAAACAATATTCTAGGCAATACATTCATTTTTATCGCAGCAATACGGCCTAGCAGTGAAAGCTTCAAATTTGACCAAATTTCTAAATCTTTTTTCACTTCAGCCCAACATTTTTCATAATTGTCTTTAAATAGATTCCCATTTTTAGCTGTCATGTTAATCCCCAGGTATTTCACTTTCTTAACCACTGTTAAACCTGTCTCATTCTGAAACCTCTCTCTCTCCATCGTAGTTAAATTTTTCTCTAAGACCTTTGTTTTTAACTTATTCAGTTTAAATCCTGCAACCTGACCAAATTCTTGAATCAGTTCCTTTTAGTACTAGATTCTGGCTCCTGTAACGTCAATACTAAGTCATCTGCAAATGCTCTCAACTTGTACTGTTTAGCTCCGACTTGTATACCCTTAACCAACTGGTCCCTTCTAATTTCCTTTCAGTCTGCCCCAAGAACATTTCAAGTGCCGTCCCATTGGCAGGTCTCCCTCTCTCCCGACTGAATTACCTGCAGTCCTTTGTTAAAGGTGCTGGGAACTGGATTTCTGTGAGGGCTGAACTACAGCTCCCACAATTCTTTGCGGGAAGCAATGTGTTTTAAATATGCTTAAAATGTCGTGTTTTAAATGTACACAACATTGCTCTTTCTGTTGGTGGTAAAATCAAGATTTTCTTTAAACTGGAGGTGAACCTTTCTTCTTGATACTCTGCCACTTATTTCTGTGATTCATTAAGGTGAAATGGCTCAACTCAGCTGCCAAATAATGACAAAACCCAGTGCAGGTTCTGTGCATTTGAAACGATTCCTGTCGCTATGAATTCCTGTCCGCACACATCTATATGCCTATTTCCTTTGCCTCTGATGATAAATCCACTTTAACGTTGTCCTTCAAAGACAACACAATTTTACGTCTTACAAGCCCACCCCGTCACCATTTTACTTGAGCAACTTTCCTGTTACATTTCATCACAGCAATTGTTGCTTCTCATGAGGCGCTATCAATGTTTCATATCAAGGTGTCCTCTTAAACTGTAATGTGAGAGAGCCAACTAGAACTGTTGAATTATACATCGCCTAGCTGAATGTAAGCAGCCTTTTTTTGTAAGTCCAAAGCTATCCCTTGCTGAACTAATTTCTGGGAAGCACCGTGAAAAACCCCTATCTATGGATGAGCTTCAGATGAAACTGAGCCCCAGACATGATGCAAGATCCCGAAAAGTCAGATTCAAAATCTCCTCTGCCTACAGTGGTCGAGTTTTAAAGCAGGTATATGAAGATGGACAGGAACTTGAAATCCCACAGGAGGAATATCCTCATAGTTTTCGGCACTGCAGCTTTGAACCCAAAGACGACTTCTTTGGGCTTGGTGAAGCCCCAGGATCCAGGTTTTGTCCATCAGCTAAAATGAATGCACAGAGGATCAGTGTATTCAGAGAAGGGAACAAATACACCCTCACGGGGAGCCCTTCCCTCTTAAATGACCACCAGGCAGAGGGGAGCCATATGGTAAGTAATGTTTGTTTAATAATGACCCATTATGGAAATGATTGTAAAATGGCAAATGTGGTAGTCAGAAGCCAGAACCTAGTTCTCATGTTGGCCAAGCAACTCTTCCTATGTGTTGGTGTTTAGACCCAGGTGTGCAACAATGTAGAGTTGCCATACTTCAAAAAGTGAAAATGTGGACAGAAAAGCTGTTGAGCTTTTCTTTTCTTTTCTGCTAAAGTTGTTGAGCAGCCCTAGCAACAATGGAATGTGCAGTATGAAGTACAACCTGCGTAAAATAGCTGGGAAAGGCTACAGAATACATAGGAAACAAACAAACAAACACCAGCCAGAAAACCACTGAGAGCTTTAAAATCAATATCACCGAAGAAAATGGCAGGATTTATGAAGCACTTTATTCAGTTTCATTCCTTATTGTGAAAAGTGAAATCCAATAGGACACAGACAATACTTTTAGGTTCTGCAGCACTTTTTCTTCAATGAGAGAAAGCATTTTGTAAAACATGAATGATGAAGGAAACAGTGCGGCTACCTTTTTGCCTTCTCCTTCCTACAACACAGGTGTGTTTCAATGTCCATTTATATACATGGGAATGAAGGTGCAACAGACCTAATGCTGGAAATTTCAAATGGCTTTTGATTCTCGCTGACTCTGAGCCACCAGGTACTCAGAACCGCTGCAGAATTTAAGACGATGGTGTTGACCACCAAAACCGTACATGACCCAAATACCTGAAGAAGTACCTCACCCTGACCTGTATCAGCCAGCCTGTTTTCTTAGATCTGGTGGGCAGTTCCTTCTCATTGTCCCACCACCAGGAACAGTACATTATATGGTGGTATGGGATAGGGCTTTTTCTGTGGTGACAGCCTGGCCTATGGAATCTCCCCCCCCCCCAGCCTGCTTTTGCTGTTTCAGGCGAACTCTTTTTTCATCTGTTTCCCTGGACTTTGGGAGGTTATTAGTAGTTTTGTCACTGCTATGAATGAGGAGTCCAGGTTGTGGTTCCTTGGGCTTCTTAAGGATCTGCTGTGTTTTTGCTGCTGTAATAAGTTATGATGAATTGGTTTTATTGTAATGTTCCTTTTCTTCTTGTATTAGCACCTGCCCTGGAATCATCTAATGAAGGGTGGGCTAGAAATGTTCTTATAAGAAATAAAATAAAATAAAATAGATGCATCCATAAGTAAAACCTACAAAAATGAATGATTTGAAGCACACCAAGGATACTGACCCAATGGAGCATGTAAGCATTGTAGAAATTCCAAGGGACAGGTGGATACAGGTGATACAGATACCTGAGAGCTTGCTCCAGCTGCACTCCCCATCCCAAGGCACACAGGGCAATCTACTATTCATGGTCCTGTGGGACTCTAGTTATAGGTGGATATTGTCTACAGTGGTTTTTCAAACTGTGTTTTAATGTTACTTTTAAGTTGCCTTAGGAAGAATTGCACCCTGCAAGACAGGATAGAAATAATGGTAAAAGATGAAAGAATGAATGTCTCCTTGCAGGCCCAGGACCCGCACTCTCCCCACCTCACCAACCGGGCTAGAAATGAAGGACTCCACATCATCAGAATGGGATCGAATCAGGCCACAACTTTATTGACTACAGATGAAGAGGTTTGGCATAGGCAATGGGTAACCATTTACTTCTGGCCTGCCTGCCGGAAATGACATCAAGGGTCAACCCGACAGTGGGGATTCATATGACTTACGTCAAATAGGGGATCCCCGCAGGGATCACTGCCTTGAGGAGTGCTGAGGTCCAGGCCCCTGTCTGGGCATATGGACAGAAGCAATTCCTTCAGGGATACCCCACTTCTGGAGGGGGAGCTGAAGGTACAACCTCCCCTCCATCCAAGACTAAGGTTACCCAGTGCCTAAACTGCCAAATTTGTGACGATTGCTATGAGGTAGGCCAAACTCTCAGGCCAAAGCCAATTCGCCTGATAGGCAAATTCCTACCTGGCTCTCAATATGGCAACCATCATTGCCACAGCAAGGCCAAAGCAGCTGCGGAATGCATTGTTGAAGAAGTGCGTGAGTGTGTTGATGCAACGAGCGAGATGAGTGTTGAGGGCTGGAGCAGGTCGGCTTAAATCCCCCCAGAGTGGACCTGAGGGAAGCCTAAATGTTCCGTCAGGCTCGCCCCTGGGGGCGGATCCAGCCCTCTGAGCCGGCTAGCCATTGGCCAGTTCAGCAGGCTGGCACGGAACTGGCTTCCACACCAGGAGGATGTGAGCCAGAGCTCACATGACGGCTGGGGAAAAGTCCTCTGGCACTAATGACTCCCATTGTGTTCAAGGAAGGAGGTGTTGCCCAGCCCGCAAGGCCGCCGCGCCCATGAAGGGGTAAGCAGACTTCTTTGGACCATTCCCACTTCACCATTTCTGCTTCCTGTATCCAGGAGCCACTCACTAGAGGAAGTACCAGTCACTGTTGCTGGTTGTGGGAGTCATCAAAGTTTCTAGGCAAGGATGGAGAAGCTGAGAAATGTTAGGAGACTCCTATTCCCCTCACAGAGTTAAAAATTTCCAGTGTGATATACAGTGGTACCTTGGGATGCGAACGGGATCCGTTCCGGAGCCCCATTCGCATCCCAAACGGAACGCAAGACGTGACGGCGCGTCTGTGCATGCGCGGGTTGCGTTGTGCCACTTCCGGGCATGCACGTGACATCATTTTGAGCGTCTGCGCATGTGCGAGTGGCAAAACCCAGAAGTAACGCACTCTGTTACTTCCAGGTTGCTGCGGAGCGCAACTCGTACGTGCTCAACCTGAAGCACATTCAACTCGAGGTATCAATCCCAGGGAACTCTGGAAATAGCTCTGTGAGGGAAGTAGGGATCTCCTAACAACTCTCAGCACCCTTAACAAACTACAGTTCCTGGGAATCTGTGGGGAGAAGACAGGACTGTTTTAAGTGGTATGACATTGCTTCAAATTTGTACTGTACAGCAGATGGGGACCTAAGAGAGCTGTTGGACTTTCAATTTACATGTTCCCTGCTTCATTTCAGAATCCCCCTGTTCTAGACATTGGGAAGATTATCATCTACACTAGCAATCTGAAAATCATCCGATCACCACTGACTAAGAAGGAGCTGGTGAGAAAAATAATACAGGATGAAGGACTCGAAGACTGGTCCTTCACATACCACGAAGGAAGAGGAGAAACTTGCAGTAACCCAAGTGATGAAAACATAAAGGAGACTGAATGTGAGCTTGTTCACAACGAGCATATGCAGGTAACATGCATGGTACATTTGGGAGCAGATGCAGGCATTAAGACGTAAGGTAGTGGCGTCTCCCTGCTCTAGAGATGTAAAAGTATATGTTTGTGAATTAAAAGAAAAAGGGAAACGATGACATCCTCCAAATGTTGTGATACGAAACCTGTCAGTTCCAGGACTTATGGCATAGGTGGGGAACCTCAGGTCCAGTGGCTGAATGTAGCCCTCTGTTACAAATACAGTGGTACCTTTGGTTATGAACTTAATTCGTTCCGGAGGTCCATTCTTAACCTGAAACCGTTCTTAACCTGAGGTACCACTTTAGCTAAGGGCACCTCCTGCTGCTGCCACACGATTTCTGTTCTTATCCTGAGATAAAGTTCTCAACCCAAGGTACTACTTCCAGGTTAGCGGAGTCTGTAACCCAAAGTGTTTGTAACCCGAGGTGTTTGTAACCCGAGGTATCACTGTAATTGAAAAGTAATGCAATGGGACTTTATAGCATGCTAATGAATAAAATTAGTAAACAAACTGATCCTCTAATTCAGAATGCCGCGGCTTTAAAGCTTATGGGATATCCAGTTGGGGAATCCATTGTGCTTAAATTAAATCAATGGCAAGAGATTGCTTTGCAGCTTCAAAATTGTATAAAAAGAATCTTTGCCTCATTGATAAAGTGAACATTTCTAAAGAATTTATATTTAAAAACAAGGCATCAGGGTTCAAAACAATGGACTGACTTATGGGACTTGAATGGACATGCAAGAAGGTACCAAAGGGATATTTCAGGATGGGGGCCTTTGGCCCAAAACAAGGTACATAAATGAGCCGTAACATTGTGGGTGGTGCTCAGCTATGTGTTGCTTGCAGTAGACCCATATAAATCAATGATCACAACTAAGTTAAGTCATGTGCAACTAGTCATTAAAATTCCGAAATCAGACCTGTGCAAATTGAGGAAATGTGTGTTTATCTATTTTGCGCAACCTGTACAAGAAACAAGGGAACATTAGCAAGGAACTAGAATCACAGGGAGGAATAGATATTAGTATTCCCACTAATATTTATCAAGCAAACAGAAAAGCAAGATGTTCAAAAACCATAAGAGCCATACACATCTTAGAGGGATTTAGCCTGCCGATTGGATTTACTTTAGGTAAAGGATTCTGTGAACTGGTGTTAAGGAAGCTTATTTTGATCAGTCCCTTTGTATTTCAGGAAGCAAATGGTGATATCAATTGCTCCCAGTGTAAGGGATCAGGCTCTGCACCCTGCTCTGTGTGCCACGGAAGCAAGTTTTCAATGTTGGCGAACCGATTTAAAGAGTCCTACAGAGCTCTGCGATGTCCAGCTTGTAATGAAAATGGCCGGCAACCCTGCCGGACCTGTGTTCAATGACTGTATCTACTCTCTGGCTTCCTTTTACTTCCCTCATTTGCTTGTTTTGTGTTGAAAAAGAATCCTTCAAGTTTTTATGTCTATTGTATTTACCTCTTTGCACTCAGGCTACACCTGCAGGTATAAAAGTGTTTGTATGCAGTGTTAATATGTGATATAAGGCGGTACCAATTTAAAAATAGCAGTTCCCTTCCATGCCATTAAAAGTGCTATGGCTTGCTATCAGCTTGTTAACAAATTGGGCCATGATCCAGTCAAGTCTCATTGATTTCAGTGGATGAGATTTAAGATTAACTCTCCAAGTGAAATCATTTTTAAAGGGCTTAAGTTTGGCTGAATCATGTCCTGGGTTCTTTTATTTGACTCTCCTGTTCCAATTGAGAAACTCTAATTTGTGTCCCCAAAGTAGCAGCATTGAATAAGTACCATGCTAACAGCAGCAGCAGCAGAACTCAAATGAGGAAGCCAAATGAGAGAGAAGCTTTTCCTTGTTGCATAAATTGGGTTATTTTTCATAGAAATAGTCTCACCTCCTCCTATCCCCTTTCCCACAAAAGATATTGAAGTTTTGCACCTATTGATAACTATATCACAACTCTTGAACACATGTTTACCCTAACTTTGCATATGTTTAGGCTAATGGTATTCCTCGTAATTTGTAATCTGATTTCCTGGTTTCAGGTTATGGGTATCGTAGGACAGAAATGAACACTCCTTTTGCAGCTTGCTAGAATAAGGATCCTTCTAGATGCAATCAATAGCAGAAGCATCTACACCTCAACTGATAGAATAAATCATAACATGTTATATGATTTATAATTTCACTTGCCCTTTTACTTTGAACATTTGTGAGCTTTTTCAGTCCACACCCCATTTTGCATATAAATGCACATTTATCCCTCCTGAGGTGCATGCCGTTTCTGCAGATCTAGCGCATTTCAATTTTATTGTTATTAGAGCACAGTGTTCTTTTCCTGTATGATTTAGGCAGCACCTCCCAGTTCTAAACACTACCACAGAGAAGGAGGGAGGGAAACACCAGTGCAATGGGGGGGGGGGGGAGAGAGAAAATGTGTATTTTATGGCCTTATTCAGAGAGATGCTGCCACTGATGTTAATGGGGGAAGTTCTGCCTCTCTCAGGATTCACTTGTTAACAAATGGAGCTTGTGTTGTTTAAAATGTGTCCCCAGTTGTAATTTCTAAACCATGAACTCTAATTAGTTTAGATGAAGAAGCAGTGCTGAATACTTAGCATGCTACCACTTGCAGCGCCAAAACCACTACAAATAAGGAAGTCAATGAAAGTGCTTTCTACTGTTACTCTGTTAATGTCAAGGCTGGCTTTGCTTACATATGAGATCTAAGGCTCTTGATGAGCTAAGAGATCTCTCACATTGTTTGCCTGCTGAGTTTGCAAGGGTAGCCAGTGTAATTTATGGTCAACTGTGTACTTTGGGATGTGTATGTTAGAAGATTTCTCTGCAAACAGCTGTATTAGTAGCACTAATGCCGTCATATTTCTAAGACCTGACTGAATTCTCTTAATGTTGACATTCTCAAGTACGAATCCCATTCTGCTTTGAAGATCGTCTTTGCAAATGTATAACTACTGCTAAAACTTTTCTCAGTTCTAAAAATGCCTTGAATTTTAATGGAAGCATGGCTAGTGCACAAAATGGGGGGTGCTTCAGATGTTATCCTTCCATCCACATAGAACTTATGACCCCTGTTGTATTTCATTTCTGAATCATTCCATGTCAGTTTCGCTTCACTGCTGACTCTGAGACTGAAGCCTACCTCAAATATGGTCTGTGACTTGTGAAAAGCCAGAATAGCACATGTTTACAATGGGGGGGGGGGCAGCTACGTATATCCTATGTGTATGGAAACTTTGCCTTTCCATAAGCAAAACAGGAGTCCTGTGTGCAGCATTGACTCCTAGCCAATGGCCAAGACGCTCAAAACACTCAAACAAACAAACCACTCAAAAATCATTTTCCTTCAGGACTCCAAAAAGATGGAGTGCTGCACTGGATTGCATCAGCTTCAGGTTACCACATTCTGAAATGGGCATGGCAGCAGCTCAGCTTTAGGCCTTTCAATGTGGCTATACGTCTTACAAGCCATGCAAATGCCATGAAATGAAAACTTCACATCAGTTCCGCTCTGAATAGATGCTCTGAAAAACATGGGAGCTCAGCTGAGCACCTCAAATGCAAATTACATTTCTGAGCAAGAGGGATATATAGTATTTGATCTAAGGCACTGAAGTGTCAGTTGCCTGGTGCAGAACCCTTTGCAGTCAGCTATTTCCCACTTTGCAGTCACCCTCATCCCCAGGGACTCCCCACAACACCCCACAGGCTCACTTCCTGAAAAGGATGCCAGCTGGGGAACAAAGGATATTGGGGAATAGACTGAAGGGCTAACAGCAGTGATTCAGTCCCACCTGGTGTTCCACTGCTGGTGCTTTTAATCACACCCCCATCGTCTATTCTTACTTATAGGTGTCACTGGGGCAGATCTGCTTTTGAAGACAGAGGTCCGTTGCTGTCACATCTGCTGAGAACCTCAGAGGCAAAATTCACATTTGGCAGCATTCTGGCCATTTGAACGCCACTCTAAAAGGCAGCACCATCTTTATGACTACTAAGTAATAAGGCTAAGGCATCGGCTAAGAGGTTCTAAATACAGTACTGAGTAAATTCTAGGAGTATCACTGGGATTGCCTTAGAGAAACAAATTTGGGTCAGGTTGTTTGGCTGTGATCTAAAAGGTTTGTAGAAGCACTGGCATCCACAAGAGCTTTCCATTCAACTCAATGGGGATAGTTCTGAACGCACAGTTTGGAGATACACAGTAAAGTTCTCACATGAAAATACTCCATGCTCAGGTGAGAATACCATCTTCACACAGCATCATGTATGGCTAAGGAGTTTTTCAATCAGGTCTCAGATATGTAATTGCCATTGGTTAGATTCCTTAATCATGGCTTAGATTGTGCTTTTCTGAAAATTTCCAAATGTATTATTTGGAAATGCATCCCACTGAAATAAATGGGACACACCACCAAGAAATGTGTTTATGATTGACATGTTAGTGATTTTGTGAATGTTTTTGTTGTTTAGTCGTTGAGTCATGTCCGACTCTTCGTGACCCCATGGACCAGAGCACGCCAGGCACTCCTGTCTTCCACTGCCTCCCGCGGTTTGGTCAAACTCATGTTCGTAGCTTTGAGAACACTGTCCAACCATCTCATCCTCTGTCATCCCCTTCTCCTTGTGCCCTCCATCTTTCCCAACATCAGGGTCTTTTCCAGGGAGTCTTCTCTTCTTATGAGGTGGCCAAAATATTGGAGCCTCAGCTTCAGGATTTGTCCTTCCAGTGAGCACTCAGGGCTGATTTCCTTCAGAATGGATAGGTTCGATCTTCTTGCAATCCATGGGACTCTCAAGGACTTCTTGCAATCCATGGGACTCTCCAAGGAGTGTGGTGGAGTCTCCTTCTTTGGAGGTCTTTAAGCAGAGGCTTGACAACCATATGTCAGGAGTGCTCTGATGGTGTTTCCTGCTTGGCAGGGGGTTGGACTCGATGGCCCTTGTGGTCTCTTCCAACTCTATGATTCTATGATTCTATTCTATTCTATGATTCAAGAGTTTCCTCCAGCACCATAATTCAAAAGCATCAATTCTTCAGTGATCCGCCTTCTTTATGGTCCAGCTCTCTCTTCCATACATCACTACTGGGAAAACCATAGCTTTAACTATACAGACCTTTGTTGGCAAGGTGAATGTTACTCTCTTGGATAAAAATAATAAAACTGCAAGGTTTCATGTGAACCTTGTTAAAGCTCTCTTTTTTGTTCTATAGTAATATCAAGCCTTTCATGCTTCTCTGTGACAAGCATATGACCCAGTAAACTACCCTGGGGACTTTTCACAGGGTGGAGTAAGAAATGCATAAAACCAATAAAACAATACAGCATTGAGACAGAGACAAGTTCTGCCTAAGTGCCATTATTGTTCATATAAGTAAACATGAACAAAATATTTCAACATGTATTTGCCTATCACAGCCAAGCTACCTGTGACAGAAATACTGAGCCTAGCATTTGCACAAAAGGAAATGTTTTACCAGGCTCATAAATATAAAAAAGAATGGTTCCTGGTTTTCATCTCTTGGTCACGTTGCAACATGATCAAAAGACATAGCATAGCTCTGTACCTGCAGCACACTGAAATGCGTAAATTCTTCCTGTGGGGTTATTATTATTATTATTATTTCCCAGAGATGTCAGATGGCACAAGATGGCAGGAGCACTTCCCATAGGTCCTGGAAAAGATCTTGTCCAGCAACAGGGGCAACCTGGATTGGGAAGCGGGTAGCTTGTGCCCGTCAGCTTGTCACTCATGTCACTGGAGAGACATAACAACAGGCCATGGACCCATTTCTGCAGGTCCAGCCACAAGCCTTAACCCTGTGGTTCTCAAACTGTTTTCTAGCACCACACTGATTTTTTTTGTTGATAAGAAATACAATGGGAAACAACAAGAAACAACTCCTAGCAGTGCTTGATTTATAACAACATAGAACACAATTATGTTATAATATGAAGATGCGACATCCAGAAAGTATAAAGCAATGAAGATACTTAAGTACATGAATCATTCCCAAAATATAATTATAAACGAACCTCTTGCATAGTACCTTAAATATGTAAACAAACTCAACGAGACGAGTAAGCTTACTTTTGCTGTGTAATCTCGTTTATATTAGGTCTAATTTGGGACAAACTATCATTTCCTCATCAACACAAAGAAGCCTTTCTCTTTTCTGATCTTATATCATATTTGTCAGAAAAGATATCCATCCTAACTGTTGATCAAAAGCAGAACATTGTGAGCCCTCCTTGCCACCTCTCTTTCTCTCTCCCCCCCCTTTCACGTCAAAAGCCAGTGGTAACACTTTATCACACACTAATGAATTAGAATGCAGGGTGGCTGAAAGGGAAGAGAGATAGGGTTACATAGGTAGGAACAGGATAGGGGGTCCCCAGGGACAGGAAGCAAACTAAACCCTGGTCATAATGGTGTCCCTGAGTGTGTCCCATTAATTTCTCCATGTACGCGAAGGGCTGCCATTCAAGTCTAAGATCTGCACTTAGGGTTTGACTGCAGCAAATGTGAAAGCTGCCTCCCACCATTGTCACTGGATGGCTTCTCTCCAAGAAAGCGCAGCATCCTCTCCTCTCATCTACCTACATTGCTGCAGTATAGAAGCGCTCTCTCTCTCTCTCTCACCAGTCATGACAAGGGGCATTTTGCAGGCTCTATAAAATTAACAAAGTGTGACAACTAGCTAGTCATTAGGGAGGTCCAAAAATTTGAGGCTAGTTACAAATGACAGCGTTTGGACTAATGTCACTGAGAGTTGAAGCTATGACTATATTATGATCTAAGTGCTTTAACTAAACTTCTAGGGGGTTTTTTGGGGGGGGGGAATATCCATTTCCGTTTTTAAAAAACACTAAGGTTTTGCACAAGAGTGTACAAGATCTTCCTATTAGTGTTATATTATAAGCCCGATGTATGTACTGAGATTGGTCTCCCAGATAGTCCCCAGCATTTACTGTGAGAATATCTCCTCCAAACTGGGCATGTGGCAATTGGCGGAAATAGGTTTCTTTCTTTGGTATCGGAGGCCACTGGAAACAAAATGGCTAGGCAGGGGTCAGCAAACTTTTTCAGCAGAGGGGTGGTCTACTGTCCCTCAGACCTTATAGGGGGCCGGACTATTTTTTTTGGGGGGGGGGGAATGAACGAATTCCTATGCCCCACAAATAACCCAGAGATGCATTTTAAATAAAAGGACACATTCTACTCATGTAAAAACACGCTGATTCCCAGACTGTCCGCAGGCCAGATTTAGAGGGCAATTGGGCTGGATCCGGCCCTGAGGCCTTAGTTTGCCTACCCATGGGCTAGGCTGTGTTTGGGTGGGAAGACAAAGAAGTTGGAGTGCTGAAATAGAGCTCAGCCACTGAAATGTCACCATGCCCACAAAAATGGAAAAAAAAGTGTTCCACACTAGACTAGCAGTGGCTGCAGACTGTACAACAGGCTATTTTTTCATTTATCCATTTTAAATGTGAAAAGGGGGCTGGCATTATGATGAAAGCAATGTTATGTGGATACTGCAGAAAACTTCTGGGCCTGACCAGGACTGACTTAACAATAAAATCCTGCCTGGAAATGCCCTTTAAGGTGGCACAAGAGTCTCTGTGCAAGAGACTTAACTCTCTGAAAACTGTAGCCTCACCAGAATCCTTTTCCTTGTACACCCTCTAAGGGCAACAGAACGCATCTGCATAGGCAGCCCCGTCCTAAGCCAGTTTATTCTTTGTGTGACGTACTTCCAAGTTAAATGTGCACAGGGTATACGCACTCTTACCCGAGAGTTAAATCCCACTAAAGTCAACGGGGCTTACTTCTGAGTAGACACGCAAAGGACTGCAGTTGGGTTTTTCTCTTGGCGTGGTGTTTCCCACCATGCCCGTGGAAAATGCGGTACTATGGCTATTTTTAGGAGTATATTTCTGTTTTCAGAAAGCCTGGGGTATGTTACATTTTCACTCAAGCAGTTCCGCAAACTTTGACCCTCTGAACAAGAATCAGACAGAGAGAGGAAGGGGGCGTGGCTTCTGGCACACGTGGGGGAATTGGGCTGCGTAATTGGATTGCGGAGGGGGCCTCTCTCCACTTCGAACGTCATTACGGTTCTACGGAAAATGCACTTTCCCCCGCGAGGCAGGAACGTAAAGGAAGTAAAGGAACGTGGGAGCGGCCACACGCCAGCGCCGAACACGTGTCGTTGTGTTCCCGCGTTATGAAGTCCCCAGAACAAAAAAGCACAGTTTGGTTCAAAACAACAGCGCAACGGTCCGATGACTTCGTAACCGTAGCGCACTTTCTTTCCCCTGCCCTCCAGAGAGGCCTAAGCCGCTCAGCCCGTCTGGGCGCGCGTTAGCATTGTGACCTAGGGAGGTGTTACTCGGAAGGCAACGCGCCGGCCCGCTGCAAAACGACGTAGCTGGAGAGCGGGTGTTTGTGCAGGGAGGGGGACGGAGGGAGGGGGCTGCCGGAGCCTGCGCGGGAAGGGAGCGGCCAGGCCCTCCAGCGAGCGCCGCCGGCGTTTGGGAGCAAGCTGGCAGGAGGGGGCCCGCTGGAAGGGCGGCGGCGGTGGCAGCTGCTCGGCTCCCGCCATGGGGGTGACCGTGGAGGCGCGCAAGGTTTACAGATACCCCTTCGAGCAGGTAGTGGCCAGCTATCTCCGCAAGGTAAAGAAGGGGAGCTCCTTTTCATTCTTTCTTTCCCCTTTCCCGAAGCTGTGTGTCAGGCCCCGTTTCCTTGGGCTCAAGGGGGTTCATTCACAAGTGTGTGGGGAGGGGGGGAGAGGATAAGGAGGAGAAATGGCGGCAACGGTGCGCCCCAGCCCAACCTTCATATTGAATACTCTCCACGCACGCCCTCTCCAGTCTGGCAAAACTATTTGGAAGTGTTTTCCAGCCTCCGATTTTCTCTTTGGTTGACAGCAGAGCCCCGACTTCAGTGTCCCCTTGCAGTAACACGCGGTGAGGCCGAGCCTTTGGGGTATTTTGGGGGTGCGTGTTGCGTCGCGGGTGGGGGCCGTGCTATCTAACCCAGCTGCCATCCGCCTGGCTGAGACAGAGGCTCTCCGTGTTTATCGGATGGGGGTGTGAACGCGCCTCTGGATCTCTCCTTCCCACTGCTGCCTTTCGCACGTGCTCTCTCTCCGGCACGTTTTTCGCCCTGGCGTTTGCTGGTGGGCGCTGCTGCTTTCTCGCTTAGTTCTCACGAAAGTGCTACTTCGTCAGAACTTATAAATACCAAGGCCCACTCCTTTGAGACAAGGTTTTTTGTGTCTGGCAGGGTGTACTCAGGATTTTTATTGAGGGGAGGTCTTTTGTTTTTTCGAGGGGGGGGGCAGAACCTCAGTTAACTATGTATATTTATGTATTTTTATTGATGGGGGGGCAGTTGCCCCTTCCCCCCAGCTACACCCATGGTGTCTTGTATACTTTCCAAAGTGCATGTCTTCATCTCCTTGGTGGAACAGCCAGGATGAATTCAGAATCAGCATTCAAGATGCCCTTCACAGATTGGAGAACTGGGCCAAAACTAACAAGGAATGTTAATAGGAGCAAATGTAAGGTTCTGCGCTTAGGCAGGAGGAACCAGCTGCTCAAATGTAAGATGGGGTACACATGGCTTACTGGTAATACACGTGCAAAGGATCTAGGGGTCTTAGTGGACCACAAACTAAACATGAGATTTCAACTAAATATCAGGAAGAACTTTTTGGCAGTAAGAGCCAACTGGAATGGACTCCCTTGGAAGGTGGCGAACTCTCCTTCCTAGGGTGTTTTTAAGCAGAGGTTGGATAGCCATTTGCCACTGATGCCTTAGCTGAGATTCTTGCATTGCAGGGGGTTGGACTAGATTGCCCTTGGGGTTCCTTGCAGCTCTACAACTATGATTTTATGCTCATCCAAATACCCTTAAAGGGAAGCCACACATGTGATGTATCAACAGCAATCAAATATCGGAGTTACAAAAGCATGGATGATGGTCCCCAAATCTTAGTACTGTACTGCAACTTGTATGGTTTTATGCTGGTTTTACGCAGACTTTTGTACTGGTGATACTTTCATATTGATTGTATTTAGTTGTTAATTGCATCTGTGTTTTATTGTTTTTAATTTGCGAACTGCCCAGGGGACATGGTTAATTAGGCGGTATATAAATGCCACAAATATCTAAATAAATAAAGCAATGAAAATATGGAGCTGATAAAATGCACTTGTGCCTTTGGCTATAATCTGGCAGCAGGCCATGGCCCAAGAGAATGCTAGCCTGTAAAAAATTATTCACAAAGGGGAGCAAATAATATCCATGCATCTTGTGCGGAGTGCAGACCCTGTCCGGCTTCATCTACCTGCCACAGGTGGCCAAACATGGTTGCAGAAGTAGCTGTTGTGTAATAGGGCATAATGATACCCAAGCCTGTATTCTTGTTCATATTTTGGGGGTAAGGTTTATCCCCAAAGGTTTATGTTATTGTAGTCAATTAACATTCTTCTGTCTTTCTGATGTATTTTATATTTTGTTTCCTGTATGCTTTTACAGATGTAAGTCACATTGAGATGTAGGTCACTTTTTTGTTGTTGCAAGTGATGAATATGTGCCATCAATACTGCTACTACTAATTAATACTGATGTGGTTAGGATCACATAGTTAGCTATGGCATTCACATCTGGTTCTGGTTTGAAACCTTGGCTCAAATGAAACCCTTATCTTGGGTTACTTAAAAACAAGAATGCCAGAGGTGGGATCTGAAAATGACTTATTTTTTTGTATTTCCAAAGTGGGATTATTGGAGCTCACATTTGGAAGCAAGCAAGCCCTATTGAAATTAATGAGTTTATTTTTAAGAAGGAATGCACAGGGTCATATATTAATGTGCTGCTTTTGTCAAACTGTTTTGCTACCATTTAATAACGTGATACCATTAGTACAAAGGAGTCCAGGCCAGTGAACACATTGCCTTCAGCTCCCAGAGGAAACCTCAGTGGCCTTGCATGAACGGTTGGGGCAGCCTTACCTCAACCATTCCTGGGGATGCTTAAGACTTAGGTGCCCCAAGGAAAAGCAGAAGAGAGGAATCGGAGGCAGGAAGCTAGTGCCATCCGCTTCTGAAGTTGGCCTGAGAATATTTTGTATCATTTGTGTGTTAATGTTTTGAACTGTAAACAGCCTTGGATGCCTTGGCAATTAAGGTGGTCTATAAATGCAATAAATAAATAATAAAATGAATACTGTACTGTTATGTTACTGTTTATTGATACATTGTGTAACTATATTGATAAGATGTAACTATAAAGGCACAGTTCTTTGCACTGTCCTCTTAAGATTGAAACAGACTGCAGGATGTGCGAGAAACATCTGTATTCCCCTATTTAACTGCAACCAGTCCTGAGGATAGAGTGGCTGCAAACCCCCGTCCTGGCTGGGTAGTGGTTGCAGCCCCTCGTGCTGCCACCATGCCCAGGCAGCCAAAACGTGCAGGGGCAGCTGGGGGTTAATGTCCACTCCTGGCTGGCTTCATCACAGGACAGGATTGCCCACCAAACAGTGTTAGAAACTGAGATATGAAAGCCAAAAGCTAAACCTATGAAAAAAAGACAGTCACGGAACCAAGAAATTACACAAAACAAAAGAATTGCTGTGAAAATCCCTGAAACGAGAAGTAATCAACTATAGAATTGAATTAAATAACAAAAATCAAAAAATTTAAGGAAAAATTAACCTAAAATTAAACAAAGACTTAACGAGATGCCGGCTACAAAACTCGTTTCACTGAACTAATCAGTTTCCTCAGAAGGAAATAAAGAAATTCTAAACCTTAAATGATTTTAAGTGACATCAAACAAGTTTCACTTTTTTATAACAAGAATAGAAAGCTGAAAATGAATGAACTGCAGCTATGTTCATTTTTCACTTGGTCTAGTCTTTCCTCTGCCCACCCCCATAATATTCTTTGGAGGGTCTCCAGTCTTCAGAGAGTGGCTGGAAGTGGGGAGGCAGAGAAAGGTCCTCCTTTTCTTCCCCTCTGCAGTTTTAATCTGAAACCTTAGACGCAGTACTGCACCCAGAGCTCAGAAACTGCTCCCGTCAATGAAATTCTCTGTCACAAAATGCGCCCAGAATAATGAGCATTTTAAACACTGCCGCCAAATGCCTATGTTCAAACTAACCAAAAAAATGTTTCAGGTATGCCAAAATGGTATGTGTGTTATGCATTCAAATAATTTAGGGCATGCATGCACTCCTCACTAGAGCTCCATCAGTTCACAAGTCATTACTGATGTATCATAAATGAAAAATGGGTGTCATCAACATACTGGGGGAATTATCTTGAGTGCAAGTAATATAAGACTGTCTTTCCCAAGCCTTTGGTGCTGGTTGTGGAGCTTTAGGGGGAAGCAAAGTCTTTATGGTGTGTGGTTTTTAGATGACAAAAACTAGAGGGAGAGACCTTTATTATTTTTACCTTTCCCAAACCTCCTAAATAAGAGATAAGGCACTGCCTCTACCTTGGGACTCAAGGGAGTAGCAAGTATTTCTCTTGTTTCTTTTAAATAAATAATAGAATTACAGAGCTGCAAGAGAACTTGATCAGTCGCCTGCTCAATGCATGGTGGGACAGCAGTGTCCCAGACAGATGACTCCACACCCTTTACATAAATTCCTCCAGGGATGGAGAAGCTCTTTCTGTTTCTTCTCTAAAGTGCACCACAGGCTGGGCCTTACTATCTCATTTGGCCTTGAGGTTTGGGGAAGGTAAAACACATCAGGAGTTTTCTCTGTGTCTTTTTTACTTCTTCATAACCCCGTTACAAGTGGTAGAGATCCCAGCCTCTCCTCGAAGCTTCAAGCTCACACAGAAGAACACTAGATTGACTCTTGGGGGCAAGCTTGATGTTACACACAGATGCCTAATTCTCGCCTACCAATCTTTTGAAATGAAAAAGGAGCCTTAGGGAGTTGCCATCTTCCTTTTGAGCGCTTCCCCTTACATGCTGGTCTTACCTGATAGCACATGGTTAGAAAGGTCTGTTTTCATTTAAGAAAAAAAGAGAGGTTACATGCATCTGTGTTTGATGTTTGGCTTTGGTGTTCAATTCCTGTGTGTATTTTCCTATTCTTTTATTGTTAATCTGAATAGAAGTATAGAAACTGTTTAATTATAGATGTTCATAATATGGTGACTTTATTGCCCTCTAGCTGTGGCTTTTGAGAAATGAAACTGAAGTTTAAAAGTACGTAATTGCTATTTCTTTGCCAGTTTTTTAACCGGCATGCTAAGGTCAGATGACCCTGCTCAATACTATCTCTCCTCTGCTCAAGGAGTACAAAAGAACAACTTTTTGAGCAACCCAGTACTTTTCATTCAGTGGAATGACTTCACTGGCAGGCTTGTAGTTTTTGCACCATGCTTTCTTTTCCTACTTTCTGTTGATGCTGAATGTAAGAGAATGGAGAGGCACTGCCATTGAGGTGTTCTTCCACCTTATATCTAGCAATGTAAGCTTTATTGCAAACTCTTCTGTTACCAGTTTCATTTTTATCTAGTTTTGCTCCTCAGCACATGCATTTCTCTTGTAATTAATGTGACCCCCATCTTTACAGATCACCATTGCATCTAGTAACAGTGCAATTTTTGCCCAGTGCAATTCTTCATGTGTGTATTTTGCTTTTTAATTTAATCTAAATCTTTGTGTGAGGTATTGAGTCGGACAATTCCTATTATAGTAGTTTGGGTCATGCCTTTCCACTGTAAGCTGCAAACCTGCTCAGTCAAAATAAATGAAGTGGTTATTGTTGGGTTTTTTTTTAAAAAAAGACTGATTTCACCCTTTGATTCAGAATTGTCCAGGATTTGTAAATGCTATGTATGTCAGCTGATTTCATGCAGTATGCCGCTGTTGCCTACACCAGATAGGTCATTTATTTCTGCATGATCTGTTGTTGTTGTTGGGCATACATTTAATTGTTCTTTCTCTAGTGATGGTCAGTTTCCTTGGTTCATTTGGGTTGTTGCTTGCAACCCTGAGATGGTGTTGGCTCTACTACTCCAGTCCAGTATACTGACAAATCTTTTTCCTTTTCCACTGCCTAAATACTTAGTAAAAGTCCTTCTCATTTTCACTAGGATGCAGCTGTGGTGTGACCATTCTATCATTTTGCATTTTCTGCCTCTGACAGCAGCAAAATATTAGTTTGGATTATTCGTTTTCTAAAAAACCACAAACACTGAAGATGAATCTAGGCAGGCATCATACATAAGAAAATAAAAATCGAGAAATCCATAGTTGGATAATACCTTTATTAGGACCAAACAGAAAATGTGCCAAGCTGTTATCCAAGATGCATGATAGAGAAAGGACTATGGTTCACCTGAAGCATGCTTCAGGTGGCAAAAAAAGAAGGTTCACTTGGCATTTGATTCAGAGGCTGTATGTGTGTGTTTGAGGAGTAGATGCAAGGGAAAATAGCATTTACTCCACAGCAGTAAAAACTGAACTTCTGTGTGCAATATGTATCTGTAAATAGCCTGAGAGGTATGATTGTGTGGGAAGGCTATCACTCCATAACTGAACATTTTGACTTGATCTTGAACACCAGATTGCACTGAGACAGACCTGTAGTTTTAAACTTAAAGGTAACTAGGTAAAGGTAAGGTAAAGGGATCCCTAACCATTAGGTCCAGTTGTGGACGACTCTGGGGTTGCGGCGCTCATCTCGCTTTATTGGCCAAAGGAGCCGGCATACAGCTTCCGGGTCATGTGGCTAGCATGACTAAGCTGCTTCTGGTGAACCAGAGCAGCTCACGGAAATGCTGTTTACCTTCCCGCCGGAATGGTACCTATTTATCTACTTGCACTTTGACGTGCTTTCGAACTGCTAGGTTGGCAGGAGCAGGGACTGATCAACGGGAGCTCACTCCGTCGCGGGGATTCAAACTGCCAACCTTCTGATTGGCAAGTCCTAGGCTCTGTGGTTTAACCCACAGCGCCACCCGCGTCCCTTAAAAGTAACATTGAAAAGTAATATTGAAAACAGAAAGCATTTTAGTTTTGCTGCCCAAGAAAAGGTGAAACGTGTCTGTGCTTGTCTGTGCTTGGTCATGGGAATGTGATAAATGCTTTTGAAGGGTTGAAGTAACTAATTTGGGGAAAATTTATAATCTTCTGAGGAGTGCTAACTTAATCCTTGTGAGTAAACTGCATTTTCCCCAGCATTTGAGCCATAAATTCTGGTTGCTAATGTGTGTGTGTGTGGGGGGGGGCATTTCTTCTCTGTCCATCACATCCACGTAAACATGTTGTGTGGTAGCCATTGGCAGCCAATGTCCCCACTGTGGAAGGACATGTGGATCCAGAATTGGTCTCCACAGTCACTTATGGACTCATTGTTAAAACCGTGTTTATGGAAGACAATCTTTCTCGGCTACGAGTGATCGCCGAAGAAGAAGATTACTAATTGAGGAAACCACCCACACCTATGATGCTCCTACAATTTTTGTACCTAATTTAGGGGGGTGTGTGTGTGTGTATATGAGTTGCTCCTGAGTGTTGACATTTGTTCTGCACCTTTAACTGTCTTTCTTCAACTGTCAAAGTTTTTTTTTCTTTTTTAAAAGGGTGAGCAGTCTTTCCTCCCATGACAAACCGTTGCATAATTCTATGATTCTATATCTTCACTGTCATCACACTCCTTTGGTTACTGTAAGGACAGCAACATAAAGGGAGCTGCTTCAGTTGCTCAAAAGCATGCACAAGGACCCCGTGGAATCTCATCTTTGCTCTGTGTCATAACTACTATTGTAGAAGGAATGAGATCTGAAGCGGGTGGATGCTTCATCTTGAGTAAAATAAAATACCAGCCACTTTAGATAGGTTTTGAAAATAGCAACTTGGTTTCCAACTTCTACTGGTTTGTTTGTTTTTTGGTCTTGTGTTTGATATGTGTTCTCTTACTAGCTGTGCCATGCATTTACTAGAGTTTACTTTATGATACATTTATTTGCTGTGATATCCTGGAAGTCTGAAATTGTTGGAACTGATTTCTTTCCTACTGGGATTTAAAAGAGAATCTTCAAATATATTTTGCAGTCCTGTGATGATTCCATTTTTTTAGTTGCATTTGAGCATGTGTACTTCAATATCAACTCAGTTCTTGCATTGAAGGATTTTGGTTATCATTACAAATTATATTAAACCATGCTGAATTCTCTGTGCAGTCAACTAGAAGACTAGATGGTTCTCTTGCTATGATTTAATTTAAGCCATTTATGTGTTTGTGAATGTTATATAGCGTCCTTGCATTGTATTTTGGTTTTCATCATATTCTGAGGATTGCGTCTTCTCTTAACCTTGTTGGAAGCCCCATTTGAAAAGTGAATTCATGCTGACTTTTGTGATACTTACTTTATTTTGTATTTGTGGAAGGTTTGTATGGAAAACAAATGTTTTTCAGAAAAAGTGGTACATAAAGCAAAAACAATATTAATCAATAATTGCATACTATTCAAACACAGTGTTTCAAAGTAATCCATCTTTTTCAACAGAGCAGGAAAATCACCATTATAGCTCATCATATGTCAGAATTCAGTGATGAGCACTACTTGATCTTCCCACCAAGAAGTGCTTTCATCTCTCTCTCAAAACAGCCTCTTGCTGTATCATAAGCAAACGTCTTTATAGTGTCATTGGAGTGGAGTTTCAAAAGCTGTTGTGACCTGGTGCTTTGTAGAGGAGGGTAGAAGGGGAGAGAAAGAATTACAGCCCCAGTAAATAATCCCAAAGTCTTCTCCACATGCAAAGCTTGCTGAATTGTTAGCCTCTTCTTAATGTAGCATGGCATCTGTTAAATTTTCAGGAAAATTGAATCTTTAATACGTCTAATTAATATATTGGAGCACCCAGCAAAGTGAATCACATAATTGCAATAAATCATAGAGATTGCTGTGACCTATGGGTGATCTTTTAAAAGGAAGAATATATCTAATGTATGCTTATTATATACTATATACTATTCTTCAGGCAGGCAGAAACAGGGGCCACCTGTGTGGTTCTGACATAAGAGATATTATACCACAGAGAAGTAGCTCCTATGCCTCTGTGATAAACACGTGATCCTAACCTTTTCCTGGGTCACTGTAAAACCTTTTGTATCTTTGATCTCTGATGGAAGAAGGTTGTGCTGTCTAACTTTAAAACAAAGTTTCCAGCTTGGTGATATAACACACTAGTATTCAATATGGGTCCAACCTGGGATGCTTGTGATTGGTACCTAATTCGTATCAGGTTTACAAGACACCTCATAAGGACGCCACTTTCTCATTCAACTGTGAAATCTGCTAAGCAGTCAGTTTTGAAGCTTTGGAAGACTGGATGAGCATCAGTTAATCTGTAGGGATTCCAGGAATAAACAGCCACAGTGCATGTTTTTCCCATTACACACACCCCTTGCTGGTTGCTGTCTCCTACTTGCATATTTGATGCACTTGAACAGTTGACCACGAGATGGCATCATATCATTTTTGAAGGCTGTGGTCTAGTTGAAGAAGTTTTTTTGTTTTTGGAAAGAAATGTTAACTGCTCACCAGTAAAACAGAACTTTCAGCTAAGCTCACTCATCCATATATTTCACCTATGCAAAGCAAATGCCCACCAAGCAGTGAAGAATGCTACCATTCTACATATCTCTGGGACCTCCCCCCCTCCTTCTCTCTCTTTTTACATGTAACTGATAGCTATATGTAGCTAAATTGTTTTCACATGTAGGGTTTATATGGTAATCATCATCTCCAACTGTTACATGGTACAACCGTATGGAATGGAAATGTGAGATCTTTCTTGCTTTCTCTTTTCCTTGCTCAGGTGATTGAGGCACAACAGGTCATACACATATAACTCACCAATTTAGAATGCAACTTAACATACTAGCATCCAAGAAAGTAGCTGATATAATGGTAGAATCATAGAATTGTAGAGTTGGTAAGGGACCACTGTAAGGCAGGGGGGATCTTTTTGCTCAATGTGGGGTTGCTGCTTTTTGCCCTCTACCCTGAGATTAAGAGTCTCTTGCTTTACTGATTGAGCTATCCCAGCATGAGCACCTAACCTGTGTATCCAACAGAGAGTTTATTCAGCTTGATCAATCAATGCATTTCTTCCTTTTGGGTTTTCTGCATTTTGTTTATAAACAAGGTATTATGGACTTGGGGAAAGCTGTGGTGCTGCTAATAGTTAAACCGTCCGCATACTCATAAGCTTTTAACTCATCTCCCTTATATTAAGCTGTGCACAAAATTGAGTCTATTCCTAGTTAAATACTTGGGTAATAGAGTCTGCTATTTAGTGGAAGACTTATGCAAATGGCTTTTTTGTTTCACACGAATGGGTCTTATAGACTGTAAGTTTCATTGATAATGTAATTAGACTGTTACTTACCATTTGAAAGCAGCAAGCTGCATGGAAGCATCAGATTTAACTGCCATATACTTCACTTAATGAAACTTCTTACAGTGAACATAGAAATGCATAGTTCAGTTAGTATCTTCTTCTTGAGTTTTACCGTGTTTTCTCATATGGCATTTATATTTACTCGTATACCTGGCTTTTATCATCACTGTACATTTACTACTACTATCTTTTATCTAATATCAGTTTTGTGCTGTCTTCCTGTCCCCCGCTTCCTGATTCAATTTCCAGAGAAGGAGATTGGAATATTGTTCAATTTTGAACACATTTGGGGAGCTGTGGGTTTTCTTTCTTTCTTTTTTAAAAGCCATATCATGGTTTCACTTTGTGGTCTCAAAACACAGTTGGAAACAAATCACTGTGCCCCAGCTTCATGTGTCATGGGAAAACTCTGTTGGTTTATATTGAAAGTGGGCACCTCTTTTGGAATGCAACAAGTCTCTTTTGTGCATTAGCCTGAGGTGCTTGTGTATGTGAAAAGAAACCATGGTTTCTAGCTGTACTTTAACCTGGCCAATGTGTTAAGAAGAAGAGATTTAAAACATACCCTGTGATCATATTGACACTTTATCCTGTCAGATAGACACACTACTACTCCAACGTCCCACATAAAATGAAATGCCTAGGGTGGTGGCAGAGGGGGGAGTTGAAGAATAATTACTATTCAAATTGTATCCTAAAATGGAAAGATGTGGATTCTGAGTTTTGATACAGAAATTCAAAGGCTGGGTTTTCTATTTCAAGATTGATTATTGGTTGTGTAGGGAAGAGAATGATCTTGGCTTCTTTTAAGATGAGCTTTAAGGCTGTTAAAATGGATTGAGCATGCAAGAGTATCCATTTCAAATTCCCCCATGCAACTCTTAGGGTAGATTCACCCAGTTGTTTTCCTCACACCACAAAGGGTTTTAAGTCCTTAAATCCACCCTGGTGTGTTTCCAGTTTTTCATCATGGCTCACAGATGTGCATAGCCTTCATCTGAAAAGCCTGGGTTCATTTGATGTGGGTAGCGGGTGGAGTTTGGACGATATCACACTAGTTTAAAATTCCCATCTCATTCATTTTACTGTTTTGAAGGCACCTTGTAACCTAGATCACAATTTTAAAATATGTTCTTAATGTGTTTTGTGTGGCAATAGTGAAGAGAGTTAACTGACCATTTAAAGAAGTTTGTTGGGAAATTTCTTAATTGGCTTAAACAATCACAGCAAACTCCTAGCATAAATCAGCCACCACACTCAGATCTGTTGAGAAATACCATGCAAATTCTAATAGGATTTTATCAATGAGTAGGAAATTTCCTTTTATGTACCTACTTACTGATGTAATTAACGTATACAGTGGTGCCTCGCAAGACGAAATTAATCCGTTCCGCGAGTCTCTTCGTCTTGCGGTTTTTTCGTCTTGCGAAGCACGGCTATTAGCGGCTTAGCGGCTATTAGCGGCTATTAACGGCTTAGCGGCTATTAACGGCTTAGCGGCTTTAAGAAAAAGGAAACAAACTCGCAAGAACTCGCAAGACGTTTTGTCTTGCGAAGCAAGCCCATAGGGAAATTCGTCTTGCGGAACGACTCAAAAAACGGAAAACTCTTTCGTCTAGCGAGTTTTTCGTCTTGCGAGGCATTCGTCTTGCGGGGCACCACTGTACATCACTGTTCAGGAAAAACTTTTCCCAAAGTGTTTAACACATAATAAATTGTGATGTGTACTCTCTTGCCTTTAGTATCCAAGTCCCATGGAGAAGCATGTCACGGCTGTAAAAACAGTAGAAGAAAAAACAGGTAAGTTGGACACTTCACTGTTGCTTAGAAGGCTCCAGAAAGTTTTCAGTAATTTACAGGTACGTGAGAGCAGTAACTAAGGTTACTCAGAGGTTTGGGGTTAAATGTCATCAGTATGTTGTGACCCTTTGCTCTACCTTGGAGCTAAATGGAGGGGGAAAGAACACTGAAATTAAATCTAGCTAGAAGGGGTGGTTTTGGCTAGGGGTTCTTCCAGCTGGGGGATAGGCGCACAAGCTTATTCTGTGTGGTTTGCACTCTTGATGAAGGATCAGGTATACAGCTTGGAGGTGCTGCTGAATGTAATGGAAATTATTCCTTGTCTAGAACTCAACTCACACATTGCTTGAGGCAGCTGGCACAAATAATGCCCTGACTTAAAGGGCCTCTGCTTTAGGCAGGTGATATTGAGCCAGTAGGGTTCTCTTTCAGCCTTCTAGTCCTCTATACTTGTGCTGCTAAGGTTGTGAGGTAAATGGAGATAGGAGGAAAGGTCTCCCTTCCCTACCCCAGAGTACCTTCATCTTCTTTGCCTGCCTGGAGTACATGTTTGGGTAGGTTTGCCTAAATAGAAAAGATTTCAGCAGGCACTGAAAAGAATATAGTGAAAAGGCCTGCCTAATGGTGAGGGAGTTTGAGTGTAAAAGCTGCCACACTAAAACACCAATTCCTAACAAGTTCAGAATAAATGTTATGGGGCAGCTGTAAAAATGCCACTTCTAGAGATTGAAGTGGTTTTGTGGCATGCATGGGGTGAGCTGATCCATTGATATATAGAGGTGGGTGATTATTGAGAGATAATTTTTAAGCTGCCCTTGGACCACTTCACTCCAATTTGGCAGTAGTTACTGAATTGCTTGCACCTTAATTTGGGAGCTGTGGATCAGGTGATCTCGCATTGAACCTCCTGAATTCTTCCCCGCACCCAACCCTTACCCATTACTAAACTTGCAGTCAGAATCCATAAATATTCATCCCTGTTTCTGAGATTCAGCCTCTGTGGCTCAGAGCACTTTGGAGACAGCAATTTGCGAACTATCTCCCTGGCTCTTGTTCTTTCTGTGCATTGCCCTCATGCCTCAACTGGCTCTTGAAGACAAATTGCCCAGTTGCCCACCATTAGGAAGCGGTTGCAGACCAAGTTTATCGCATCCAGGCTGCTTTTTCTGTTCTCCCAGAAGAACCCTCTTCTCAGCCAAGTCTCTCATACTGAGATGGCAGAAGAACAGAAAGTAGGAGCAGCCCGGGTGGAGGAAAGGAATTAGTGTTGTCCCCCCTCCCCAATGCAGATGCTGCAAAAGGACTACATAAAAGGTGATCTCTGCTTCAAGAAGCTGAAGCTGAGGCAGGCAGGGCTCTCGGCACAAATCTCCCCTTTCCCATTTTTCACACCATCCACTTCGGTCTTTTGAGAGGTCTGGGGTGGGGAGCTTAGTTATTCTCCTCCACCACTGAAAAAAAAGAGGCTCAAATTCTGGATTTTCCATTGCATATTATATATAATAATAGTTTTAGCCATCCCTTTCTCTTGGGAAATACCAGTTTATGACCCCTTGTAAATGTGTCACATTGGGAAAGACAAATATACTGCCAGCGTGGTTATTTAAAGCCTACTGCAAAATGCTGCCTCCCAGGAACAAAACCAGGGGAAGAAAAAAACACAGATAAACTTTGTGCGGGAGAGATTTGTCTCTTCCTTAGAACTCCTTTTCCACTGGGCTGTGTGCCTAGTCAGATCATCAATTAACATCATCCTGAGGCTTCTGGACTTGATTGGGATCATTAAATATTAACATGCAAAGTGAGTTTGGAAGCCAGTCACGTTCTTATTGTAGCTCAATAACTATAATTTGTGAAGGGTTTTAGAGGCGGTGGGGCTTTTCTTTCTTTTTTTGGTAGGGAGCTTTGTTCTTGTCACTGGCCCAACTCATTATAAAAATAAATTCTAATTGTTTGAGAGAATTGCTTTAGGCCTCAAACATTGACAATGGTGGGTGGAGAGGTATTTTGTACTCTTAGGATGTATTTCAGAATGCAGAGTGAGCAGAACAAGCCATTTTTGATCGGAAGTGCTGACCCAGGAAGATATTTGAAGCTTGTAGCTAGCAACACGAGAGCCTCGAAAATTAACTCCCCAACTGCTACCAGCTAAATTGTAGAGCAATTCCATTGCAGTTCTAGCCAAATCTATGAAGCTCGGATTTGGAATTGTGTGATGCTTTGTCATTGCCAGCATAGATGCCAATAAAATGTTTGAACCACACCATCTGTCCCCTGCCCAGTAGGGTTTTTTGTATGTGTTGAGGTGGGCAAACATAATATAGTTTTTGGACTAAGCATATAACCCTTTAAACGTTTTCTTCATGGTCCATCTGGCAACTGGGCTGGAATCCTTTGGCTGCTGAGAAGAAGGGACATTGAATCCCTCTACCACATTCAGGCTTCCTCGCCTTCTTCCTTGCATCTGTAGTGCAAGCATTTGGTTTTGTTTTCTTACTATAAAAAACAACAACTCTATTTTCCAAAATAGCACTAAGTTGGTTTGTTCTTTTATGCTCAGATTTGTCTACAGGAATCATATACCGGAGGAGGATTGCAACGTGCCAGAATGTAATTCCACACTTCTTAAGACAGGTAATTAATGTCAGTCAAGGTTGATGCATGCTGGTTTTTAAGGATATAGGGGAAACGGTGCTGGTTTGTAGCCACAAAGAATTAACTGTCTACTAGAACTAGGAAGGTTCTAAGTATCCTGGGTGGACCACGTGAGGATAGGCAACAGCAGCTCATGTGGGTGGGGCGTGGAGGGTGTGGGGAAGTGGCCTTGTCCTGGTGGAAGCACTGTGCTTGGATGGGGATGGGGTGGAAGTCAGAGAGGCTTCTGCAAGGCTTCTGCCACCAACACTCAGAGCCCCCTTGACCTTGCTGCTACCAATTTGCCTCATCCCTGTACTTACAAGCACAGCAATGCTGCCCAGAGGATGCTGTTGCTCGCTCCCCCCCCCATATGAGCCACTACTGAGGATGGGTCTGTGTTTGAAATCCTGTATCCTTCCCTTAGTTCCTAAAAGAGCATTTCCCAAAAACAACTCTTATCTGCCATTTTGGGAGCTTGAAAAGGAAATCAAAACAATGTCCTTTTAATCTAGGACTCTGTTTTTTTTAAAAAAAATCATAACAGGATAGTGATTTCTTCCGTTTAAACTTTCTGTGTCCTAAAGTTGTAGCTTGGCAACTCTTTGGATTTACATTCTGCTATGTATCACCTTCCATTTTGTGAACTGTTTACTTGCAATCCTTATTCTGTCTGTCAGAACTCAAATGATTTCTCTCTGTCACATTTCTGTTTGCCTTTTTTTTCCATGCCTCGTCCAGATGGGGAAACATAAAAAATCCAGGTACCAAACAGAATGTAAAATGAACCAAATGTTTTGGCTGTTTATGTCGTGAGTGCAACAGTCGACAAATGTCTTCTGTTAGAATCCATTACTTTAAGCAGGACATGTAGGCAACTAAAATGTCACATAAATTAAGCTGATGCTTAAGATGCAGCAGTTGGCAAAATCTAACTAGGCACTGAGCCGTGAGAACAAGTCCCTAAATGTTTGCATGGTTTCATCACTAACAGCTAAAAGTTTTTAATTTCTCTATTGGCGTCAAGAGATAAATGTTATGGGTGGCTTCAGTCCTTAATCGTTTTATTGTGTGAGGATGGAAACAAATGCTAAATATAAACAAATTCCTCATTATTTCTTCAAGCACCTTGACATTATTTAAACATGTAATCATTATGTCTAACAGATCAGTGTCCTGAAAGTGCCCGAAGTCTACCTAGAAGAAGAATCTTGGCTTAATAAGCAGGATAGAATTATGTCTATGAAGACTCGGTGCCTCACATGGACACAGTATGCTACTCTAAAGGAAGAGTCAGTCTTCAGGGAAAGTTCAGAGAATCCAAACTGGTAAGGTGTAACTTATTTATATGCACATTGTTGTAAATGGCCTTCTAGTTAATTTCTATTTATTCTGTTTACCAGGCAACACCAGGAGGATCTGATGGTTGCTGTTGAGATAATGTAGGCAGCCACATTGTAGCAAGTAGCCTTCAAGCCAGAATTTCACAGCTGATACCGAAATTAGGTCTGCACAACTTGTGACCCACCAAGCCAAGTGCAGGCTGGCGGCTGGGCATGCATAACTGAAGGCTTACTGAACTTCTTCCGGTGGCCTGCCTTAGACTTCCAAAACAGGCTCTTTCTGTGTGTTAGCCGAGCCATGAAAATACACGGCTCCTGTGCTATGTCAGAAGTTGTACAGGTAAAACTTGCATAGGCCAAACATAGGGGAAAATATAAAAATATGAGTAAGCGTTAGGTACATGGTTGCCATTGTCATTAGAGTCAAGTCTTTATATTTTTCCTACTGCACTTTTGATATGGTAGGAAACAGAAAGGTTGCAAACTTGGTTGTGTGTACTTTCGCTATTAAAAAAATATATATATTCTGTGCCAAAGTACTTGTGAGTCTGTCTCCAGTATAACTTACAGAAATTTGCATATTATATTTACCTTATTGAGGGACAGCAAGTGTATTCTGCATGGTTGGATGCATTTAGCTCTGTTGTGAGTAAGAACACCAACTATAAAAGCATAGTTTGTTTTGGATAGAATAGGTCTGAGGCCTTACTTTACACAATGAGATGTGAAAGCTCAGGAAAACCCCAGAAAAATCGGGAACCTCCCCCCATTTTTCCAGTTCCCCCCAGGCCTTTGCACCTTTATATTCACCCTGTGCCTGCCTGCTAGATCACTCTACCCAGATTGGGAGTTGTTGTTGTTGTTTAGTCGTTTAGTCATGTCCGACTCTTCGTGACCCCATGGACCAGAGAACGCCAGGCACTTCTGTCTACCACTGCCTCCCGCAGTTTGGTCAAACTCATGCTGGTAGCTTCGAGAACATTATCCAACCATCTCGTCCTCTGTCGTCCCCTTCTCCTTGTGCCCTCCATCTTTCCCAACATCAGGGTCTTTTCCAGGGAGATTGGGAGTAGGTTGGACCAATTAAAGTCCAGAAAGTTAAAGGGCTGTTTAGTGGAGGCAGCTGAGACAATGAATGAAAAGTACTTAGTGACAATGGTGAAGTTAAGGAGGAGGGATTGGTTTGGCAGGTTTGCTTCCCTCTGCTTTTTCTCATGGTGCCAGTTTAAAAAAAATATATATATTCTAATTTTCAGGTAGGGATCTGTTCTGCCAATGCTGGCTGGATGTTTTAGGGCAACTGAACTATATTTATTGAATTTGTTCTGGTAAAAAGCAACAAATGTAATGAACCCTCAGTAAGAGTAGAAATGGCACCCGTGAATAATTGGGCTGTAATAAGAAGAAATATGTGATGGAGTGTAAAATGATACTGAATGACACAATCCACTGCAAATTCTTCTACTGGCTCACTGTAATAATGCCTCAAAAATAAAACAACAACAACAACCCGGGAAGTAAAAATAAAACTAAACAGTCTCCCCAAGTTAATAAAAAGGATCAATAAAAAAATATTGCAATTGGAAGTGTGAAGACATATGGGACGTATTTTGGATAGCTGTTCTTATGTGTACTCAGTTTTATTTTAGGAATCTCTTCAACAGCTCATTTAAATCCAAAGCAAGTCTTAGTCACTTCTGCTCATTTATTCCTGTATACATAAAACTAGGGCCCCTTTCATCAATGCACACCCTCAAAAAGTGAACTTCACCCTTCTACTCCAGGCCAGCTTCTACACAAACACTCTCACATACGCTCTATCTTCCTTCCATATAAGCAGGAAGCATCATCTGGGTTCAAAGATGCAAAAACCCTCAAGGAGTGTGCATAGCAGGGCCACCTAGGGGGTGTAGTTCTGGGGAGAGGAGATGTGACCTGAGGAGAGTCCCATGGGCCAGGTAGAGATGTCTGGGGGACTACAGTTAACCACTTGGCCTGAGGTTCCCCATCCCTGTTCTAACCAGTGGGTTGGGGCCAATTGCTTGGGGTGACATTTGGTTTGGAAGACATGCAGTTGGCTTCACCTGTGTGCTTGGAATATGACAGGAAGGCATTTCCCACAATGCTCATGAGATGAACTATTGAAGGCCATTTCTGGCCGTTAGAGAGGCCTATAGGGCAGCTTCTCACTAGATAGTGGTGTAAGCCTTGCAGGGAAGAGTATATGAGTTTTGCCCCAGGTGAACTTGCTTTGAATTCTGAGCTACCCTTTCCCATTGACATCCTACTGTTTTTGCCTGGAAATGTTTACTAATTCCTTAATAAAGTATATAAACAATAAGCTATCGGGTTATGAAAGAGTGCAGAATTCCTTTTTTAACCTGCCAACAAATATGTAACCGCTTTATGAGCTCAGATTTTATCCAAAAAAGAAAAGGAATAAGGTAGTGTGATACCAGTCCTTCAAAATGGTACCAGGAATGGTTCTGAAATTTTCATTTCACTTTTAGGAAGAATGACATAAGTTCTGAGTACTGTCAGGAAAGTGGTCTTTGTGAATTTTATAAACAGAATTTGTGCCTCATCAATCAAGTGGAATATTCAAGCATACTCCTAGGATCTGATCCGGAAAATGGAATCTGAAGGACTGGACAGATCCAAAGGATCTTGCGACACTGGGACAATGGGCAACAAATATAACAGACTGAAGCCTAGTGTTAACATAATGCTTGTACACATTGGAAAAGAACAACTCTGGTATCAAACAGTAACTGCTCCGGTATACATGACTTAAAGCTTTGCTCTCTCATCCCTGGAGACCGGAAGAAGCAAAACATGCTCCTTTTATTCAAAATCCCTTGTAGATTTTCTCTTTATAGGGAGTCTCACAGTGCTTTCATCTAGCTCACTTCCTTCTTGTTGATAACTTTGCATCAGCCCATGTGATTTTAACACACAGCATTTGATGAGCATGTTGGATTATCTGTTACCGTACTTTATATATGTTTTTATAGTTTTAATTCATTTTTAGTCTTAGAGTATTGGGGTTCCTGTACACAACTTACAGGTGGCTGTAAGTGGCATACAAATTATTGAAATAAGTAATAAAAATATAAGCGGGGGTGGGGGGGCCCAAAGTAGAGATGGGAAGGCCTGGGAAAAAACCGGAAAAATGGGGGGGGGCAGGTTTTTCCCCAAAGCCATTTTTTTCCAGAAAAAAATGAAAAAAATAGTTTGATATAGTTTGAATATTCAGCACACTTTCCCCCCCAATTTTTCCTAAAAAAAAATGGCTTTGGGGAAAAAACAGAAAAAAACTTGTGTTACCCCCCCATTTTTCCACCCCCAGGCTTTCCAGCACCCACACTTTGGAGCTCCCTGCCGGCTGACACCAGGAAGGTGCTTTCACTGTACTCTTTCTGGCAACTGCTCAAAACATTTTCGTTAGGCCCATCTGAACACGCAGAAGCTGCATGCGATTTACTTCCTTTTAACCACTACTGACTTTAATCATCTTTTGAATACTCTTAAATACCTGCTTTTAACTGTGTTTTATCAATCATTTTAATGTTCTGTTGTATATTTTTGTAAACTGTTTAGAAGCTCTCTTACCATCATGCTGTTTATAATATACAATAACAAATTCAATTTAAAACACACACACACTCCTTTTCCTTTCAAACAGAGTTTGAGCCTTAGCGCAACATACTATTCAGTAACTGGATGTTGGTTCCTTCTGGGGCTGGCATGCAAAAAAAAATTCATTATTTGCCCTGGCTGTCCTCAAGTAGAAATGGGAAGGTTTGGGAAAAAGCTGAAAAAATGGGGGGGGGGGACAGTTTCCCCCCATTTTTCCCCAAAGCCGTTTTTTTAGAAGTCCATGAGAAAAATGCCAAACAGGAAGAGGAAGAATAAATGGAAAATGATAGCAGTAGTTCAGAAAATGAGTTAGAATAAACTGCATGTGTATGTTGTGTCTTCTGTTTTTGTTTTTTTAAAGCACTACTCAAAGGGTAGACCTTACATGGAGCTTAAATATTGAGGTGGACCTTAACTTTATTTGCTGTTGTTGCTAAGGGGCAAATCTGATTATTATTTATGTTGATGGTTTCTTGCCCTTTTTTGTTGCTTTTGAGGGAAAGGGGCGTGGTTACCTGTTTTATTGCAAGCACAGTACTTTTATATACACTGCGTTTCATGCAATTTGTAAAACTACTCCACACTGAACTTCTTTTCAATTTTTCCAAAATTTCCATTTTTTCCAGAAAAAAACGGGGGGGGGGGGAGAGAACGTTTTCCCCCCATGGCTTCAAAATTTCTGGAAATTTTACATCTCTAACCCTAAGTGATTCCATGAACCACCAAATTGTATTGCAGTGTGGAAATAAAAGCACCACTGACAAATTTACCCTCTAATTTGTAAAAAGTATAAGGCACCCATGCCTAGGTGCAGCAATATATCACTATTTCTCAGCATATGCTGCACTGACAGTATATATTCAGTGTAAACATCAAAGGGTTATTAATTAAGGTACTTCAGGTTGTGTAAGCTAGTGGCCAGCTGGGCTGAAGAGGAAACCTCTTCAATGTTACTGCAGAACACAAATGGCCAGGTGTATATTTCTCTTTTCAGCCTTTCCTGAAACATCTGGTATATGTCGTTATTGAAATGTGGTGTGAGTGGAAGGAGACAACAAATGCTCTTCTAGTTTCTTCCAAAATCTGGAGTTCCTATGAAACACAAGTGAAGCACGTGAATTCACTGATGATATTCAGTGGGTAATATTATTATCAATGGGGCAGAGCAGGAAAATGTTGCAGTGTATTCTCGTCTCCTTACAGAAGTGCTTCTGTCCTGGGTACTTACCTGTTTAATAAGGCTCAATATTTGGCCTTAAAAATTATTACAAATATAAAGTAATACAGTGGTGCCTCGCAAGACGAAATTAATTCGTTCCGCGAGTTTTTTCGTCTTGCGGTTTTTTCGTCTTGCGAAGCACGGTGTCGGAAAAGTTTTGGAAAAGCTTCAAAAATCACCAAAGTCTTCAAAAACCTCAAAAAAGGCTACCACACCGCGTGCTATGAGTTGCTCCTCGAAGACAAGTCGCAACTGTATTAACGGTTTTAAGAAAAAGGAAACAAACTCGCAAGACGTTTCCGTCTTGCGAAGCAAGCCCATAGGGAAAATCGTCTTGCGAAGCAACTCAAAAAACCAAAAACCCTTTCGTTTTGCGAGTTTTCCGTCTTGCGAGGCATTCGTCTTGCGAGGTACCACTGTATATGATAGGATATAACCAAATCTACTGTATCTTTTTGGAAAGTTGCTTATTTGGTTGCTATGCATCTTAAAATATTGTAACCAAATATTGCATAATTTTTCCTAAGCTCAAGGAGCAGGTTTTTGTCTGTATTGGGATAAAATTGAGCTCCTTTTTCAATCAAGATAGCAGTCTGAACCTTTCATTGATTTTAACCAGTGATTCCAAAACTGCACCCATTTATTATTTCTTAGAATTCCTAAGCAATGCTGGGTACGAGGCTGCTAACTGTATCCTTGCACAAACATGAGAAAATAACAATGGTACAGCAAAAGTTACAAGCCTATAATATATATTGGTAGTCTTAATACTTACTACTGAATTGAAAAACACCTTTTTAGAAACTTAGATCTTATCAACAGTTCTGGCACCTAGGTTACTTGGTGGTGATGGATTTGATGATGGGTTCTGGGGTGGAAACACCCATGCATTTAGAAAGAATAAATTTGTGACAATTTCCAGTTCATTTTATGTTGTTTTAATGCATGTTTGCCTGGTGTCTAAGGTTATTTTGTTTATTGTATATCAATCAATGTTGCACTATGTCTTATACATGGGGGGGGGAGTTTTTTACAGTGTGAATTTTGCTCCCCCTCTATTCTTCTCACTCATCCTGTTTTTTAAAAAATACTCTGTCAAAAGTGATGCCAGAATATATGAAAGGCAGTCCTTGAAATTACAGCAGCAGCACTTGTTCCCTTTGAAATTACAGCTTGCTGAAGCTTTGTTCTATATCATTAAATTTGACTGAACCTTGCCCCTAATCTGCATTGCACAAAGGAATGTGTTTTTCTCAGTAGTCATAGAAAAACAGAATGTGGAAAGTCAAACTTGGTGTGCTCTCTGCTACTAAAGCTCTCCATATACCTGTTTATGAAACTAGAAATATGCTTGGTAGGAAGATCAGACAATTTGGCCTTGTTGGCAAGAAGAGGTTCTAGACCTAGAAATCTCAGGTGGGAAACCTGGCTTTAAAAGGCCAACTTGAGAAACAATTTGTATGTTGCAGATCCATGAGTATAGAAGATTTGCTTATTTGTTAGGCTGATATAACAATGAGTTGTTTATTATTATTATTATTGAGAACCAAACTTTGGTTCACTGCCACTGGGTATTGGACACTGGTATTTAGACAAGTCTGATTTATCTCCAGATTTTGTAATTTGTGAAGCATGCCATCTCAGCAGATGTTAAATGCTCAGTTATAGCCAGCACTGTGCACTACAGTTTTACAGATGTACAAATTGTGATATATTGGAAGCAGAATCCAGCTTCCGAAGATCAATAGGCTTTTTTTTTTTTAAAAAAAGAAAATTGCTAGTCATTATGATTGTGAAGATATGCTTTAGTTTGTGGGCAGTTCTTGACAAAATCCCCAAAGCTATAGGGGAATGTGGTGGGGAATGTGTGGCCTTCCAGGTGTTTTGGTCTCCAATTCCCATCATTCCTGTGTTCACTGTGGCTGATGGAAGTTAGAGTCCAACAGCATCTGGAGGGCTACAGGTTTGCAACACCTGCTGTAGGAGTTGTTAAGATTTCCAGGGAGCTGAGGTTCAGTGCCTTGCCTATTCACATCATTAAAAGAAGCAAAATACAGTGGTATCTGGGTTTACGAACTTAATCCATTCCAGAAGTCTGTTCTTAAACCAAAACTGTTCTTAAACCGAGGCCCTTTCCATAATGAGGCCTCCTGCCGCTGGTGCCCTTCCACCGCTCAGCTTCCGTTCTTAGACCGAGGTAATGTTCGCAAACCTGGACAATACTTCCGGTTTTGCGGAGTTTGTAAACCAAATAGTTTGTAAACAGGGCTGTTCTTAAACTGAGGTACCACTGTAAATGATAGAAAATAGGGGTGTGTGCTGAAGGACACATTTTGCAGGAGAAACAATGCAGACTTTCATAATTATTCAGGTGCAGAATTTGGATTCTTCTTTTTTAGCACAAGTATACAGTGAGCAGTGAGCATGATTCTGTCTGTAGATGTGCTTTGCCAGATGCGAAACCTATTTCTCCAGTGACTGTGCATAAAATTGCACTGTTTCCTTCATCACATTTTCATGAAGGCACCCACTATTTCCTGTTCGTCTGACTGAACCTTTCCTTCAAGTCTCATGCACTGCACACCTTGAAATGCCATTTGCCACCATAAAAATTATAATATGCAAGAAAAGATCTGCAAGATTCTAACGATTGAGCATTTCCCCAAATGCCAGTCTTGTCCATCTCTTTTTATTTCGAGTTCTCATACTCCTGGGTTGATTCTTCTTATGAAATTATCCTGCTTTGAATGAGTAACAGTATGTCAAACAGTCTGCTCACATGAACAGTGAAATATGGGGAAAACAATCTGTGGGACAGAAAGTGGAAACTTGCTTGAGCAGATGCCTCCCCCCCTCCGACCCCCACCCCAGTTCTGCAGATGAAGCCAGTGAGATGCTTCAGTTATCAGAGCAGTTTCATGACATGAAGAGGGACTGCTAGTGACAGAAGAGACGGGGGTTTGTTCAGAACCCCCACTGAATATTTTATCAAGAACTTCTCAACTGAAAAAGTTTCAAAACTTTTCTTTTTCCTTTAAAGGCGTCCATGGTAAGAAATCTTATCTGAACTAAAACATCAAGACTTTAATTAAAGGATCTTTAGTATAAAACTCCAATCACAAAAACAATTAAGCCAAATTTGCTATACTTTTAACTAGTCAATAATTCAGTAGTTGGATCTCGCTAATAGACTTCTCTCTGCCACTGTGTTGTTGTAATGATGGCGCATCACCCAGCTCTGCGTTGCAAGGATCAATCGGAGATCAATATTTTCTGTGAGCTTTTCGTGTCTTTCACAGGCTGTGAAAAAAAGAAAAAAAGAAATAGCAACATCGGGCTTCTTCTCACAATTACTTTATCAGGTTTAATAACCCCCCAAATGCCATTTGCCTTTTGTTGCCGCCTCTCTTAGGAAAAACCTCACCCACTAGTTGCTTGCATTGATGGGATATTATTGGTTATTTCTACAGCACATTGCGTATGCAAAGAGCTTTCTTCTAATGCAACTCAAAACAACTATGTGAGTTTGGATCTTTAATGCTTCCACTTATAGGGATGCTGGGTCTTTGAACCGCTTCAGAGGCAGAAGGGAATAAGGATCAAGCTATTTAAGCGTAGGAAGGGCTGTTATCTGTCAGGGATGTTGTAGTTGCCTCCGCTATTCCAGATTGGAGTGATACTCAACTCACCTGTGAGCTCAAGTATTTCTGCTTGCACAACAGGACTCCTCCCCTCCCGACTTGCCCCATTCCCTCCCCAAATTGGGGAGAACCTTTAGAACAGATTTAGGGGCGCACAGATTGAGAAGAGGGGGAGAATGTTCCATTTCGCAGGGGGAAATCCTTGTGTTGATGGGACAAGAGTCTTAGTGCTGTGCTGGATTCCACCCCCTGCACTGAGCAGATGGTTGGGCTAGGTTACTTCCAGGGTCCCTTCCAATGCTGTGATTCTTATTTCATGATGTGCAGCATCTCTTTCCTATGAAACAGGCCATAGGATGTCTTCCTGCCTTTAAAATAGTCCAACTACTCCCCTTTTTGGAACAAGGGGGAATGGGGCCAATGTGTTGCATGTGCTGATAACTTTTCATTTATATACTTCTGTACTGCACTCTAGATGAGCCTGGCCTGGAATGATTCAGAAACTTCACAAGGATGGAGACAGTTTGATTATCAGTGTTTGGTTACAGGAAACATAACATCAGTACTTTATGAGCTCCGCGGCTGCGAGTTTGTCTTTCCACAATCAGATTTAGTAGCAGCAATTTACTGCAATTGCATGCATACTGGAAAATCAGTGGTGACATGCAAGAAGACTTGTTCTGTTCTGGCCCTGAGATTTTGAAACAAGCACCCACTGTGTGTGTGTGTTCAAATATGGTCTTTATTCTTTTTACAGGGTGAAATTTTATTAGAGAACCATAGTATCTATTGGGAGGGAAAGAAAATGTTTAATTGCATTTCTGTTTTGTAGGACAGAGTTCATTCAGAATGGCAAAGTATCAATAAGAGGATCAGGTCTCCTGAACTGTTTCTTGGAAGTTTTTGCACGAACCTTTTTAAATCAAGGAGTGAAAAGGGTAAGCTCTTTAATTTTATTTTATTTTGGAAAAAAAAGTTTTTTCTTTGTTATTGATACATTATGCGTCACCCTTAGTGAATGTGCATTATGACTTTCCCCCCAACTCCTTCCTTAGTAATTTCAGTTGATGGTGTTTGGCAGCTTCCTGTGCAAAATAACTCCCATTATGTATTAATTTAGATTCATAGCCTACATCTACTTCTGGGCTCCTGTCTGTGTTCCATTTCTTTGTAATTTCATTCAGATGGGGATGTGGCAAATGTGTGAAACACAGGTGCTGAACTAAGTGAGAATGTTTATGAGCTAAACGAGGATGGTCCAGCTTTTCATGCCAAGTGGGCCACAAGAGTACTTCAACATGGAGCCGTGCTTCTAATTTGGGGGCCAATCACAGCTGTAATTTTTACAGTATTCCCTAGTCTCTGCTACTCAAAGACATGAAAAATCACATCCAAATCCAGCTGCATGTAGTTGCTATATACTACTAGAACATGGGTAGGCAAACTAAGACCCGGGGGCCAGATCTGGCCCAATCGCCTTCTAAATCCGGCCCATGGGTGGTCCGGGAATTAGCGTGTTTTTACATGCATAGAATGTGTCCTTTTATTTAAAATGCATCTCTGGGTTATTTGCGGGGCCTGCCTGGTGTTTTACATGAGTAGAATGTGTGCTTTTATTTAAAATGCATCTCTGGGTTATTTGTGGGGCATAGGCATTCGTTCATTTCCCCCCAAAAATATAGTCCGGCCCTCCACAAGGTCTGAGGGACAGTGGACTGGCCCCCTGCTGAAAAAGTTTGCTGACCCCTGTACTAGAATGTCTACTCCAGGGTAATAAGGTTTATAAGTGCTGTATCTCCATGACTTTATCCAACCTGCAATCTGCATCAGCCACGTGGTGTGAACGTTTTAAATAGTTTAACAATGTTATTGGGGAAAATAGTTCCCAAATATAGCTGACATGAATGAAGGGCACTATAGCTGTTTCTTATTCCTAGAGTGTCATTACATGGACATGGAATTTAGGAGCATTTGGTCAGAGAAGGATCCTCAGGGCAGGGGACTGAACTATGCAAATATGTTAAAGTGAAAAAACAACAAAAACCTCTTTCCTCTTTCTCTGTGTATTCCCCAACCTTACTTCTCCATAATCTTGTAGATTTCATTCAGCCATGTGGTAGCTGATAAGATAGTTATATGAATAATTTAAAAATCTTGGCACAATTACTCTGAGAAAAGCAAACAATTGATTTCTGGCACCTTTTTGGCGTTCTCCAGATAAATGTCAGAACTTTTTAAGATTGTGCAGATAGAACTGCATCACATCATGAGAGGAAGTGATGGGTGCCACATGAGCTCTTCTTTCTATACCTTTTCTAAATAAAGAGAATCATTGATTTTTTTTTAACCCCTCTAGTCTGCAGGCATTCAGACCTCTGCTGTTTATTCTGCCAGATAAACCTGGAAACTCATTTTGTCTGAATGGATGCTTGACATTTTTGTTGTAGTTATAGGTGGCTCAAATCTTCTTACAGCTGTAAGTATTTTCTGTTGCTGTTCTTTGGGAGAAAGCTTTGCTTTTTGACCTTTCCATTATGTCTATACACGGCACAAGCAAGGCAAGGAATTCATCAGCAACCCACAGTACACACAGTTTAGGAAGAAATAGATGGATGCACTGTACTTACGAGGGACATGCTTTAGATTTTGAAACAGTCACCTGATACACCTCAATAGGGAGAATTACCTGTATTGTTATAGAGGTTGGAAAACATGTATTGTAACATTTAAACGGTGCTATAAGTATATATTTATTCATCACGGATGGATATACTCTTCAAATCAGGTAGTGTTGCCACATAATTTAGACCCATTCACCAGATTTGCACATAGCACTCTGGCTTATTTTGCCAAAGTGTGAACGGTTTGAAAATCCAAACCAGCCCAGTAACCTTGGTTTTGTTCCTGGCAAACCACCTTGTGAAGCCATGACTTGTTGGTTTATGAGCCACACTTCGTTTCAGCTGATTTGGAGCTAAGTCTGAACCCAGTAGCCTTGCTTAACCATGGTTTATTTGGCTACCTGACCTCAGATGCTTGCCCAAACTACAGAAGCATGAAACAAGGGCGGTTAGAAAACAAGCCAAGCCTTGGAGAAACAAGCTGTAGCTTATTTATTTCTCTGTGAGGCAACTCACATTTTCTGAAACAATCCATGGTTAAAACAAACCCTGGTTTAGCCACTGTTTCTAAAAATCCACTGTTTCTAAAACACGTAATTAGGATTCATTATCATGTGACTCATTTAGAGGATCCCCTGACTACTTTGGCCTTCCCTGGCAAGTATGACTATACTTGCTAGGGATTATTAGGAAAGGCATTGAAAATAAAGCTGCCACAGTTGTAGTTCTCTTATCCAGATCTATGGATCTGGTACATTTGGAATAGTGTGTGTAAAATTCTGGGAATTCCCAGAAAGAATATAGTAGAGCTGGAGAAAGTCCTGAAAAGGTCAACCAAAATGATTGAGGGGTCAGAGGACCTTCCCCACAAGGCAAAGCTAAAGCGTTTGGGCCTCTCTTTTTTGTTTAGACTATGGAGTGAGGGGCATAATAGAGGCTCGTAAAATTTATGTGTGGCATGGGTAATAGAGAGAAGCTTGTCTCCATTTCATAATAGCTAGTACTTGAGATCGCCCAAGTTGAAATTGATTTGGAGTAGATTTAGGACAGACCAATGAATAAATAATTTATGGGATGTGCTGCAACGAGATGTGATGGCCATGAACTAAGCTGGGTTTAAAAGAGGATTAGTCGAACGCATGGTAGATTGGTGTGTCGGTGGTTATTAGTCATGAGAGCTATAGAAGACCTTTGCATTCAGCTGTGGTGTGCCACTGAATACCAGATGCTGAGAAACAGGGTGATTTGCTTTACTCTTTAAGATCAAACTGATCAGTATAATAAGTTTTTTTGGGAAACTATATTTGAAAAACTGCAAGATTTCCGCCGAATATGGCTCGATGAATTTCAACAAGTCAAGATTATATGGTAGAATACCTTGAGCTATTTCAGGAAAAATCCTTAGATTATTAGGGAATATTTTCAGATAAATTATTATAATTTTTACTTGAACACGTATACTAGAGAAACGTTTTAAAATATTGTCTAGATTGTACATTACATCTATGTAATGGTGAGAATCTTAAGATCAGTTTAACTACTTGACCTATTATTTCTTTTATCATATGCTAAAGAGAGTGTACTTTTTGAAGACATGTTGAGAGTAACCCTATGCATGTTTATGAAGAATCCCACTTTCTTTAATGGGACCTGCTCCCATGTGTCATTTGTCATAGGATTACAGCCAGTACCAATTTGCTAGGCAGCGAGTCCCATTTAACTCAATGAGATCTACTTTTAAGCAAGGTAACTTAGGGTCATGTTGTTGCTAGGCCTTCGTGTACCAGCTAACAGGGAACCAATGAATATCTGTGCAAAAATATACGTGAGAAAGGAGTGTAAAAAAAAAAAAAAAAGACCATACATTGATACCCTTGGTTAGATTTTGTGATGATAACCAATCATTTTATGTCAAATACTGTTTTAATATGTATTGTGTATAATTCAATATGTAATGAATTCAGTGGCTATGTCCAGGAGGCAGAGGGTAGTGGGGTTCCGCTGCCACGGAAGTCCAAACTGCACCTACTGAAAGTGCAGACTGTTGCGGAGGTACTGCCTGTTGTTTTCCTGCCAGAGGTAGGAAGTGTAAGTCCTTGAAACAAGCCATTTCAGAGGCAAAGCAGTGCAAGGCAACAATCTGCTTGATCCTAAGCTTGTCCATTTGCTGCAGAGTGCCATGGTGCAGTGCTTGTCTGGAGCTGGTGCAGCAAAAACTAAGAAACATCCACCCACTGTTTTCTGCCCTGACCAGCAGAGATTTGGATAAAGTGCTTGGCTCTACCTGTCTAAGCAACCTTGGGGCAGCATTAGGATTGCCCTGCCTGTTAGCGGATATTCAGTTGTACTGAAATAAGTGGGAACGTTACGTAACTAACTGTGTCTGAATCGAACAAATAACTATGCTATGAAGTTAGTAATCTGATGAGTTTTTGAATTAAAATTTTAAAAAGTAAAGAAAAGGGCTTTTAAGCCACATTTTAAAAGATGGTTTAAAAAAAATTAAACATAATTTTTATCATTTTAATAGGTAGGAATAGGTTCCTTTACATTTCAAGTGCATCATGTTGTAAGGTTAACATTCTGAAGCTTGATCTCATGTGTCAAGATTTAAGCACAAGAGCTTTAGTTTAAAGGAATATATTGATCAGACTTTGATTGAGCCTCGTCTAATCGAAAAGAACAGTGGTGCTTACTAATAGCTGTCATTTAATGTTTCGTCTTCATTTCATAAATCTCCCTTCTCTGCTTTCTTAAGCCCCTCTGTCAAACAATTTCCCTTAAAACTGCTGTGCTAAGAGGAGAAATGAAAAAGCAACTGTCACAGTCTGAACATAATTGATTCAATAAATAACATTTTTAAATTCTCAAGGCAAACCTCGGGGTTTTCACTTATGTCAATTAACTACTTAGTAAATGGTGGTAAACTTAATTTGGACAGATGGGCTGTGCTAGCCCATTCTCACTTCCTCTGGAAATGAAAGAGAAAGAGAAAGCATTTTCCCTGATTTTTTTTTAAAGTAATGTTTGGCTTGAATTTGGAAAGCATCACTTTAAAAACCTTTGCATTACTTGATGATAAAACAAACTGAGTGTTGGTCTCTTTAGGTTATTGCTGTTTGGAAGTGATTCATATTTGTCATGATATTGCACTATGGGACAGGAAACCTGCTGTGTCTTTTTTTGAGGGGGGCATTCTTCACTATGTGGGTAGAAACTTCCCTTTTGCTAAAAGGGAACAGAGAGATCCTGTGGCTGCAGAGCTTTCGCTCATGGTCATTGTTCAATGCTTGCCCAGGTCTGTGATGGCAGCTGCAAAACAAGTAGCATGTAGTTAATTACCACAACCAATCTGCCAAGTTGTGGTTTGCATATTGCTGGTATACTTCTCATAGTTGTAGCAGACTTAGTCCTGGGCTGAAATAATATTCTGCACTATGTAGATGTGCAGGTAAAGAGGAGATTCCCCATCTATACAACCCACAAATGACAACAAGGCAAAATGATGCTCCAGCTCTAGTTTGACTATACTTAAAATAGCATGTATGAGTTGTGAGTAGGCACACAAATCTGGAGTGTCCAAAAGTGTGACCCGATGATCACCAGAACCTACAATCCCCATTTCTATATGCAGGGCATGAACTCCACTGCTGAGCTATTGCTGTCCTCAACCATGTGATCCATTCTCCTTCCTTCCTTCAGATCCATTGATGTGAGCTTCAGTGCACCATTGCACTGCTCTGTCATCAGGTTGCCAGTATCTTTGAGTTAAGGAGGACGAAACAGTAGGGAATGAAATGGATGACAAACTATCCCTGGAGAGGTTACCTGTTTGGTCCCCTGTCACTGAAGCAGAAATCAAAAGCCTTATTGAGAGGCTTTCACTAGACAAAGCTCCAGGATGGAATATGTTGCCCCACCCCAATCTTTTGTATGGACCCAGAGTGGTGGGCACCAATCTTGGCATCGCAGTAAAGACTGATATATTTCCTTAGTGATATTGGTCTTGATCTGCTTAGATGATCTCTAAACAGAGAGGTTCAATTTGTAAAGCTATTGTGTGCTGGTAAAATGTTCAGACGGTTCAAAATTACTGTCTGTGTTCTTTTTACAGGGTGTTACGATAATGGAGAAACTTCTACAAGAACAGTTTGGGAGCCCCTTTTTGTAATGAGGAAATGTGAGTGTGTTTATACTGTTTCTTTTATAAGAATGTGATAATCAAATTCAGTAGTTTTCATAAAAGTAATCCCCCCCATATATTTTTCATGGAGAACAATGTATGTATTCTTCAAGTAGTTCTAGAAACGAGAACAAATGGCTATTGATTGGTTTGTTATAAATGTTCTCCTAAGACACACTTTTTTGTACCTTACAGGAGGAGAAATCTCCATGTTTCTAAAGTAGAAGCACAGCAATATGTCCTCATTACCAGGCCTGCTTCTTGCTGAAGTTAACTTTATGGGTTAGATTAACGAGTAAGGAAAGACTGAGTTGAAGGAAGACAATTGCCTACAAACTAAGCAGCATATGTGGAATGGCACAACTTAAAATCTGTAAACCAGTGTGATCATGGGGAACGAAAATATGGTTTGGAAAAATACATCACTGTGTAGTTGCACTTTAATCTCCCATAGACTAATCATCAAAAAGATTCCCACCCACCCCCTCAAAAAAACCCACACACATTGGCACTACGGAAAGACTATCAGCCAAAAGAAACAAGATTTTACTCTTGTTTTAATACATGGTCCGTTGTTCGGGGCAGAGAATCTATTCCACAGCAGTGCAACTGAAATTGAGACATTTTATTAACAGGTACTGTGAATCTATGTCTCATGAAGGCTCTACATGAACTGCAAGATTATTTTAGTTTCAAAATTCTTGTATTATGCAAATACCATTCTTTAAAACCTCCAAAATGCTATTAATGCGTCTCCAGTTTGCCAGTGTATCCCTCTAAAATGTGAACTGTTGCCAAACCTTGCTAGTTTTTCAAGCCTACAAAAGCTTCTCAGAATCTTTATTAACTTAATGCTGAATTCCAGTGGTAGCCCTCTTTAAAAAGATGGAAAACCTGTTTAGTCTTTCAGTGCTTGTAACTAGGTGATTGACATCTAATTAAGTGGTAAGTTGACATAAGGGCTCAGGTTTTCGTTTCTTTCTTGAACATTTTTGGTAATGTTGTTTTTTAAAAAAATGTGTGTGTATACCATTCTATCTTCAGATATGAAATGTTACTTGAATGCCCTTTTCTGAAATAAAGGAGAACTAACGCTAGATTTGCAAATTACTAATTATTAATAATAATAATAATTGTGTGCCACAATGCTAATAAGAAGTACTTAAATGTCTGCATATATAAAAATTTTCCTTTTTATTTGCACAAAATGTTGTCAGCGTTCTACATTAGGTGAAGTGCTGGAAGGACAATTAATAACCGCAATCTGGTAACTCCTCTGCGCCGGATAGACATTGTAAACATGATATGGTCTGCTGGGTGATGCTTAGGTACACATTCAGTGTTAGAAATATTTAAGTCTTGGTTAAATAAAATATGTTCTGGAGCAGTAGGGAGGATTATGTTGTTTTGACATAAAACCATGTCCTTTTCAACCTTGTCACCTGCAGTTTTATGGCTGAGATTGCTGGAGCAGTCTGGATTAAATTTAGATTTACCCGGCACAGCAGTTATGTCAGGTCATTTTTAATTCATTTCCTTTAGCAATGAGCCAGCCTAACCAGTCATTTGAACAGCTATTTGACAGCTGGCTAATGGGACTGAAAAGTGTGCCAACTGCCCTGCTGGCTGCCTCCCTTTCTTGCTCCCTCTCGCTAAGCACGTTGAAAGCAAGAAGAGGAAAAATAGACACGTGTTTCCAAGCCTTCTCAGTGCTGAGAAGCAACTGAGCCCTTAAGAAGGAAGGATCTAAGGATCTGTGATTTAAGTGTTAAAATAGGAATGCAACAAACAGGGAAGCTGGGTGTGCATTTGAACTGAACTGGAAGCAGGGTTATGGTATGAGCATTGCCAGTGACAGTACCTCATAAAGTACTGCAAGCGCAGCACTTGGGCACTAAGCAAATCTGCTTTTGCCCTTTAAGTGCTCAGATGAGTCCATAGCACTGTTGTGAAATAGCATCTGTTTTGTCTGGGAGTCCCCCCAGAATTCATCTGCACCAGCTACCTAGAACATACTACCTGTTAACCTAATACCTGCTGACCGGTATAATTGCCTTGGCACCCTACTACTCTCGGGCCATTTGGAAGAGGACAGGATCTTGTGCAGTAGAAATCTTACACTATTTAATGCAAGGGTTGTCAACCCGGTTCCTACCACCCACTAGTGGGAGTTTCAGGATTCTAGGTGGGCGGTAGGGGGTTCTATGGCACAAGCTGAATCCTCCTTCCATCGAGCACTGGTGGGCGGTGAGGACATTTTACCATCAAGAAAGATGCATTAGTGGGCGGTAGGTATAAAAAGGGTGACTACCTGGTTTAATGAGTAACAGTCTTCCAGCTGGAGAGGTTTGAGATCCAAATAATGCTGTTGCAATCTTGTTTCAGGGAGTGTGTATATAGTCTCTGCAACTATATTAAGGTCAGCCTTCTTTTTAAAAAAAAAAAAAAAAGGCAAGAGAGATAATTACTTTCTTGAATTTTTTATTATAGTCCTCCTTGAACACTATTGTATGTCAGGCTCATTAGATTCTTCCTCACATTATGTCTCTGACTTGCTAAGTTGTAGCTAACACCTGCTTTACATGTACTCATTGCATTCCAGGAAACTAGAAATTTTCATTTTTATATAACATCAGGTCTTACAGAGTTTGTAGGAGCTCATCTGCTTTTTTCCAAGCAGTTCACAGAGCCTCTCCTTTTCCCATGTGGAGATTAATCTCAGCGTTTAAAAAGGGAGCATCTTGTACTGTTGACGGATGGCACAAATACATTTGTATGTCAGGTGGTGCAAATATGGCGATGCATCAGAAAGCAGCTTTTCTAAGGCCCTGTCTAAACAGTACAATAATCTTAAAGTGCCCTCTGTGTGGCTGTTGCGTGGAGCAGCGTACCATATGGACTCCTGACATCCTATTGGCAGTTGCAGGAGGATGTAATGGAGGCACAGCAATGTGAAGGCATGGGAATTCTTCTTGCAATAGGTGTGACTTGCATGGCGAGCCACTGTGCGTCTCTGTGGAGACTGTAAATGTATAGATAGGTCTACCTCAAGTCACACTGCATGCACCACAAAACCTTTCGGCATGTATGTTCTGTAATAGCAAGGCCTACGCAATATCACAGATTGTTTCAGTTAACCACAGGCAAGGTTGTTGGGTGCCTTGTCAACTGCATGTTTGCTTGCAGATTACAGGGCCTGCTACTGGCTGCTGAATGCTTGGATATAGCCCTCAGCTTTGTAAACTACAAAACAGCATTGAAATGTAAGAATGCCTGAACACTATACTTGATGTCTAAAAGCAACCAACTTCATGAAGTGCCTTTGACATCTGTGTCTTGATAATGTGATCTAGAAAGAAATACAGACTCGTCCCCACCTCCAGATGTTAAACATTAAAAATGTTTTGAGAACTTAATTCTTAGCCCATAATCATTTGCAATATTTTTACATTAACAGCTATCTTTCATTATCCCAGAACTTGCTTTGCGGTGTATATGTGTTGCGAATCAATTGTTAAGGGAATGGGTTAATGAAATTATAAATGATGTTTTTCACATCCATTTCTGTAATAATTGTACAACTCATTAAAAAAGGTGTTCTGATCATTCATGATGTTTGCCCTTCAGATATTCTTATTGATATTCCATACACTCTGTTTCTCTCCTAAAACGTATAACGAAAACACAGACACCAAACCAGGTTTCAAAATGAGTTCCTTAGAAATTATAGGCAAAACAGCACAAAGGATGACTCCTGTGCAAAAAGCAGGAAGGGTGGAGAATAACAAAATGGCCACAAGGTTATTCTAACTTGTCAGGATTGTGAGTTGAATATATTAATGAGGAAAGAATGTCTTCCTCAAAAATTCGCCGTTTTTCATTCAATGTCTTAATACTGCACACAAAATTGCATTGATAAATATGCAGCAGAAAAGTCACGAGCTGACATCTGGGGCTGTCGTTCTCAAGGGTTTGGTAAAGTAATAAAATGGATTAGCTTTCTGTTAAAAAAAAGGAAAGATTTCCTGGTGAAACATCTCCCAAAATCAACCATTTTGAGGACAACTGATGCTTAGACACCCTGATAAGTTAGGATTTCAAAATCTGAGCGTCTGATTTGACATTGTAAAACGATTAGCTATGTAATCAACAGATTGATTCTACACATATAACCCCAAGACAGGTCTTGGTGAATTTCATAGTAAACACAGTTATGCATATATACCTGGGAGTAAGCCCCATTCAACTACTGGGGTTTACTTCTGTGTTAAGGTGTCTAGCACTGTAGTACTGTGGACTATTGTTCCAGGAAACGCAGCATGTTTTAACTTTTAGAGACCGGCAGACACCCCTCTACCTGTGGCATGTATGTAGAAATTCAAGGGACTGTGAGCAAGTTAGGCCACATGGAATCTAGCCACATTCTAGGACTTTAACTTGAGGCTGTAACTCCATCTAGGATTTATCGCTTGCCATTCTTGTGGGGCTTCACTGCATTGTATATGTGGTTCTGCCTTATAAGAACTTCAGTAATTGCAGTTGAGCATGACAAACATCACTGTTGCTAATAATGAATTCAAGTGGTGAGTGTCAACAGATGTGCAGCCAAAATAGGGCCTCTGACAAACAAGAGGGATGTTTCAGTATGCTTGGCCCGGCTGGTGTATGCAGAAGTACCAAAAAAAAAAAAAATCTTTAAAAAGAAGTCCTTCCCCAGTAGTGGCCCAATAAGGACTGGGCATGCTTAGTAGCCACAGAATATTGAGTGTGAAAAACATACTAGAAGGAAGAATGAATTGACCTGCTTGATTGACCATTGCAGCTTATGGTATCCCTGGAGGAGGGGATGGTGGTTTGGCACCTCGAAAAGGAGCACTCCTGTTTGGGGATGAGAATACCTAGTGACATTTTGTGCTAGATTCCGTTGCTCTTTATTCAGATACATAAATTTGACTGATATCTAACACATTTCAATGCAGTATGTCAGAACTAGCGATGGTCTGCTCCACTGAAATAAAGTACCTTTCACAGTCATATATTTCCTAGAAATGGTGAATAGAAATGCAGAATGACCTGTTCTGAAACTGTCACTTGTTTCGTTTTCTAAGTGAAGTAGCAAATACAAAGCCTTCTGTTTATCACACAATTAGACTGTGTACCTTTTTGCAATAATTTAATCTGGCGGTTCTCTGCAACCCACATAAGCATTCATTCCAGCCCTCTTTTTCCTGGTAACCAGATATGTCTCTGATACACAAAATATGAGTATGCACAACTGATGAACCCAGGCAGGGCGAAACAAGGTATTATTCCGGGAATCCTTGTCTTGAGTTCTTTTGTCTGATACCTGCATACAGCAACTATATTTTGAAAAGGCATATGTTAAGATCTTTTGTATTCTTTGTCTGATACCTGCATACAGCAGTTGCACACAACAACTATACTTTGCAAAGGTAGATGTGGAACATTACAAAGAAAAGTTCATCTTTTGCAAGTACTGCTCCTTAAAGTTGTGTTTGACACCTGTATTCACAAAGACATACATGGAACACAAAAGCTTCTATTTGGACATTATGTATATAAAAACTGATCTATTTGTATTTCCTGTTTTATATGTTGGTCTTTAATTGTTTCTACTCAATTAGATAATGTGAAAAGAGTTATGATTATATGATGTATAAAGAATTTATATAGTTAAACATAGCCTGTTACATTGTGGGTATATTTGTTAGTTGGATTTACGTAACTATAGGTTTGATAGTGATGGGTAACCACACATCTCCCGTACAACATATGCTCCACCAAAGGGAAAGCAGTCCATCAGCACTGCAGGCACTGTAGCCATAGTCAGAAGTAAGCATGTTCAGTGGGGCTTACCACCAGGAAAATGTGCATTAGATTGTAGTCAATTCATTCTCTCTTTTTTTCCAATGAACTCTTCTTTCAGGAAACAATATGTTCTTATGCAGCCAGTTTCTCAAAAGCAGTATACAGATCTTTTTGGCAGGGACCTTGATGTACGATCAGTTTTAGCTGTAGAGGTTAAGGCGGTAGCACACAGTTAAATTAGTGTGCAATGTTACAGAAGGAAATGACAGCCTGTCATGTAATGGAGCCAAATGAGAAAATGAGTGGATCCTGCCCATCATTGAAAATAGTAACTGAGCACTTTATGGACAAACAAGAAAAGAGGTGCATGTAGAAGAATTCTGAAGACAGGATTTGCCAGGTTTTTCAAAATTAAAGAAAGGTGGCGTGTGTTGTCAGAAATGTCTTGTCTCACAGAGGACAAGGAGTATATTATTTGGGAATTGAAATGGGCATCTGAAGAGGAGAGTGAAAACGTGGAAAATTTAGGGAGAACAGTATGACAAGCAAATTGAAGCACACTGGTAAAACTGGAAGACGGAATATGAACAGTAAGTTTGCAACGAGGCCTTTCCATATGTTCACCTTTAAATTACAGCCTGCAGATTAGAAAAACATTCTGTATTCTTATATTTCTATGAGAGCTGCTATAAACAGTATCCATCTTGGGGCATTGCACCATGAGCCTCTCCTAAGGGGTCCACAAGAAGGGCCTCATTTGCAGATCTCTTGGAGGAGGGAAATGGCACCGGCCAACATGAAAAAGTGTAGAAAGGAGAAATCCTGAGGAAACATAAAGGTGCAACACTAGAATATAAGTTGGGGGGGGGGGAGGGATCCAGTCTCAGTAAATGTCTTTGATTCAGTGTAGTCTGTCTTACACAGTTTGCATGGCCAAACTTTTAACAAGCAAAAAATTGAGGTAAATTAGGTTTTAGGATCCATATGACTGCAAGCGCCTTTCATTTATTGGTCCAAATCAATTGCCTGCAACGGCAAACGGCATGATTGCTTTGTCCTTCAGTGAGCAACCTAAATTGCTTTCCTGTTTTAACTGTACCTTTTTGCATTTGAGCAAATGGCGTGGAAATCAAAGAAATTCTAGTCAACAAGGGCAGAAGGAGTCCCTGAGGATGCTGCAAAGTGAGTTTAACAGAAAACAGGAGATCTGACAGATGAATTCCTGAGGGGAAGTAAGTTACAAAGGAGATAGGAGGTTGGTGGAAAGAGAAAGTTAAATTTGTCACAATATTGTTTAGACTCTAAACTTTAGAGTGGTTGCTTTTAAAGCCATCCGCCTGTATTCTTTTCACAGTTAAAAGTGTCGTGAGTAATGGGGAGGGTTTCTTGGGACACACTAAACTGAGAGCAAACCTCAAATGCTATACTGTACAGTGGTACCTCGAGTTACAAACACTTCGGGTTACAGACTCCGCTAACCCGGAAGTAGTACCTCGGGTTAAGAACTTTACCTCAGGATGAGAACAGAAATCGTGTGGCAGTGGCGGCGTGGCGGCAGCAGGAGGTCCCATTAGCTAAAGTGGTACCTCAGGTTAAGAACGGTTTCAGGTTAAGAACGGACCTCCGGAACAAACTAAGTTCTTAACCAGAGGTACCACTGTAAAGTGAACATTTTAGGAATGTGCTTTAGCTGCTTTAGAAGTGCAGAAACAATAAGGACTGCATACCAGCTGCTGGGGGGAAGCTTTGGTTGTGGCTGCCACCATGGTGCCAGGTGGACTTCTGGCATTGGCACAGGCATAATGTAAAAAGCCTTGAATATCTACTGAATGTTCATGAACATTTGATACTTGCTTTCTACACCTACTGATATTTGATTGCAATATGTGTTTACATTGTGTGATCATTGTGCTTCTGTTTAAATCCCTGGGTTGCAACGGAATATGTGTGCATATGATTGAGCTGTACACCTTCATTTTTCTAACTGGCTTAGTAATCCATCCTCTTGCTGGAAGCAAATGTGGGTTGATATTCCAGTTGGTGCCTTGGACTGCAAGCGTATGCACACATCTGGGAGTAAACGCACATGAATGTGGTAGACTCTACTTCTGAATAAACATTCATAGGATCGCACCACTAGTATGCTTTTAAGAATGAAACCAAGTTTCTGTATTCCAGACACTGAGCTAAAAGTGATCTCATTCAGTTGTCAAGTTGTAAAGAATTCAACTTCCCCCGAAGCCTGTCCTCAAGGCCATAGTAAATCTTCATGTTTTTTCTGTCCATGAAGCTTTTGATGATGAACAAGCTTGTCAGAACCAGAAGATGGCTTGCCAGAATTCCTAGCACATGGTCAGTCATTAGGAAATATTCTTGAACATGCCATCTGAATTAAAATTCTGTATAGGCACATTGTTTTTGTTATTATTATTTTTTTGGAGTTTAAACAATTGACTGCATAGGGATAAACAAAAAGAACAGCTGGAGGTGAATCAAACCAGTAGTGTACCACCTGTTCACCCCTTTATTTAGACTGCAGCCCTGTACTACATAACTTGGGAATAAGCCCCACAGAACTCAACAGGACTTTTGAGTAGATATGATTGTACTGCTAGTATATTATGGCTACCTAAGTTTCTGAAGCTGTTGAAACCGGAGTAACATTCCATGGTTGGATAGTTTGGTATCACTTAATTAATATAGACTCCACGTTATTACCTTGTGTAGCACTCTTGTCATAGCTTTACCACACAGCCAGTGTGGTGTAATGGTTAAAGTGTCAGACTAGGACCTGGGAGACCAGGGTTCAAATCCCCCCTCAATCATGAAACTCGCTGGTCTTGTGCCAGTCTCTGCCACTCAGCCTAACCTACCTCACAGAATTGTTGTGGGAATTAAGCAAGTAGGAAGAGAGCCATGTACCCCACCTTGAGCTCCTTGAGGAAAATGGCAGGAAAAACACAGATAAGTATTTAACACTGGGACAAGAGTGGAGAAAAATATGAAGGTAAAATGTGTTTGTCCTTACTAGTTTCTCCTGTAGGATCCAACTTCCTATTTACCGTAACTTCTTTCCCATCACAGAGCCCTCGCTGTCCCATTTTCTCAGCTACGTCCTATTCTCTGCCTCCACAGATGGACATGTTATGTGTGCCGTAAGATATGACTAATTCAAATGAAAGTTTAACACAATTAGAACAGTTTGAAATGATGAAAGCTTGCATCAAATTCTCTGAGAAGAAATGACAAAATTAAATATAACCAGAAAGCACAAACCTAAGATATACAAAGTTGCAGCAGCAGAGATTTAGGAATGGTAGAAAGAGAAAATAATGCATAAGGGCTGTGACTTTAACCCCTGCTGAGGAATGGTAGGGTTAAACAGGCCAGCTGTGGTGGATGGCAGGCAAACAGCAATAATCAAGCATGAATTGGCCTCCACACTGTCATAAAATCATAGAGTTGGAAGGGATCCCAAGGGTTGTTTAGTCCAACCCCCTGCAATGCATGTCACTTCCTTCCCTTTCCATGGTCTGCCTTGCTGGCAAAAGTTCTGCCTAGCTGTTCAGCAAACAGAATGGGGGAGCTCTGTGTTGGAGGAGCAGTGCTGGTGTTGCTGGAGGCCAGAAGGTCTGGGCAGAGTGATGTCAGCACCAAATCCAGTGCCGCCACCCTCCAGCCTGTTGAAAAGGGTGTTTGGATTTCAACCTTAAATACTTTCTTCGTGCCCAAATGATTTCATAACATATATCCAGATTCCAAATGCCATAGGAGTTGTTTCTATTTATCCAGTGCATTTAATTTAATTGCCATTTTTCCTGTTACATAATGGAAGACAGATTTGCCCT